TTTGTGTCCGCTGTGCGCAGTTATGATTTCGGCATGTTATAAATCTTGCAAATGTCGAACAGTCAGTCAACTAAGCTAACAACAATGGGCACGCGTTGTTAATAACATAACAAATTTAATTTACTTATTTATTGTACAGACATTAAAGTACTTTCAATTAACAAATGCGCATATGTGGACGAGTGTAAGTTAAAACATTTAAATTATACAAGTGAAAGGACAATGACTATTAGAAATATTTTGCAAAGTAAGAAAAAGTTTTTTTCTATTAAATAAAAATTAAAAAAAAAAAAAAAAGAGAAAAATTTGAAAGAGGAAAAAACCAGAAGTAATCATTATTTCATTTTTATTAGTTTTGTACGCAAAACCAAAGGATGCCATTTTGCATAAATAATTGAATTTTTCATTCGACTTGTAACGCGTATGATTTTAATTATGAAACATCTTATAAGGCAGAGAGAGAAATAGTTTCTCAATCCGCATACCATTCTGAACCGATTTAGGCAAATTCCAAGAGATTCGTTCAGACGGTTTTTGAAACTCTTCTGATTGAAACATACTGGAAAAGAAAAGTAAGGGCTATCACTTTATTCGATTTAGCTAAAAATTCGACTTCAAAAAGTTAAAAAAATTGTATTCGACTTGAGATGAATCTTTAATACATCAAGTTCTCAATACAAACAATAGTGAATAATTTATTAACCGTCAACGGGTCACTTGGTTTATGAAAACGATTTTCGTACTTTCGTTCTCTCAGCTGGCTCTGCGGAGCGCTTGCATCGGGAGATGTAGATCGATTTGTATACGATTTGTCCCATTGCAAGGAACAAAAAAAAAAGGAATAAGAGAGTATCTTGCCAAGTGTCAGGTTTCCATCTCAATTTTTGGCAGTGGTGACGGACGAACGGACAGACATGGTTAAATCTAAGCAGCATTTCACGAATATTATCAAACAAGTAAAAAGACTCTACAAGTATTCATATTAGGCATTATACGGGAAGTGATAGGAAAAGTGTTCCGCTCCGAGTCAAGTTCACTTACGTTCTTTCAAAATATGTCAATAATTGCGATTTTTAGATTGAACAGCAGAAAACAAGACGGACAGACAAACTTAATTCGATTTAGAAATTTATTTTGAATGAATGTAATAACAGATGGAACTATCTCTAGTCCATGGATTTTAAGCCAGAGAAATAAATTCTAAGGCTAAACTCTTAAATCGCTAGCATCTAGGGCTAACGGCTTTTATTAAAAACTCTACCGCACTTGAGATTCGAACCCAGGACCATTGAATTGCTAGTCGAGACTCTTTCCTACTCGGCCACTCAGGCGGATTTAATATATCCTTATATGCAAGTGATGTAGGCTACAAGAAAACAATAAATTGTATGAGCTTTTTGATGCACATGTTATACAGAAAGGCCAATGTATCAAGCTCTCACCTTCCTTACAAAAGGTAGGTATAATGATATAGGCTCAATCCGTCCACAAAGAGACTTACAATCCAGACTTGAAACCAATATTTTAAGGCGTGTCGATTATTGATATACGAAACATTGATACGGTGTCTCTTCAAGACGCTTTCTAAGTTAACTATCTCTTTTAATAGAACTATCCTTCTAATCCTTAGTTGAAAACATGCTTGCAGAGGTATCCCTTGAAACGTGCGTAGATGATAAATTTCTATCGCACACTGCTTTATTATCCTTTATAATATTCGGAAGCTTTAGCATAAGTTTTTTATTAAAAGCAACAAAACCAAGTTACCTCTGGATAATTGTTGCGACATTTCCTATATATTTGTGTATAAGAAATTCAAATTCCTCTTGAGTCTTGGCTTTCGATTTAATTACTAAATGAAATTGATAAGAATGGTGTATGAAGAGAATGGTGTTTGCAAGAGAGTGAATTTGCAAGTCAGGCAGACAGTCTTTGAAATCAATATTTTATAACACTCAAAATAGTATTAATTAATTTCAATTCTGAGATAAAACAATCTGTTGAAAGTTTGCTCCTGAGATTGTCATCATAATCATAGATGATAAAGTGATTTTAATCTTTTTGAAGATTGAAATATTAATTAAACAAAACAGCAAATGTATTCATTCGTTTATTTGAAATATTTTTGGTTTTTTTGGCTATTTCTATATAACGGTAAAATGAAAGTTATTATTCAAACTAAAAAAAAAAAAAAAAAACACAAGTTTTCATAACTTAATAAATATTCATAAATTTATTTAATTCTTTCAATTTCGTTACCATTATTATTATTGGTATTATTATTATATCATACTAAAAAAACAACTCGAATTACTCGTTATACTAATTTTTAAAATCATTCTTTTAATACAAAACGAATTTTTATTTATTTACTTTCCTAACGTTCCATCCATCCATCGAATTTAATGTACGCGAGTGCATAACAAATTTTTTTTTTTTTTTCAATTTTGGTTTACGTAATACCTTAACGAATTTGTATTTATTTGAATTTATTTGCGTCTACTTGTTTGGCGTGTGTTTTAGCCCAATCAATGTGTTTGGGAATCACAGGAATGCATGGTTGCGATATCTAAAACTAGATACACTCTTGCTTAGCCGAAGACTTCTAGCATAATCTTTCATTTGCTGTTAGCATTTTCATTCTTCCAGTTTCTTACTAAACACATGCCTCAGTAAATGCGCACCTTGCCCTCTATACTTGTTCGTCACATGAATTGTGTACTTTATAAGTCGATGCAGAAAAACCATTTGCCTAGCTAAGGAGCTGGGGAAGAAGAAGGCAAATGTCATTCATTCCATTTATACCAAGCGTTAGAGTTCTTCTAAATTATGTAAATATTCCTGTCTAGTCACAGGTTCTAAGTTGATTTGTATATGTTTCCCAACTTGACCGCTAATTTGCCCCATATTCTTGGAAGTCCTTAACGAGAGATAGAGAACAAGAAGATTTACTTGATAGACATTATAAGACGTATACAAGTACTAAAGAGGTTTTGAACAAGTAAGCACATTAGACCATTTTGCCATTTACACCAAAAAATTACACATTATTTTCCTGCAAAAGCGTTTTTTCATAAAAGCCCGCCTGATCCAAATTTATCAAACTTCTTTTACTTACTAAAAATTTTATTTATTTTCACTTTCCGTCAAAAAAATCTAGAAATTAGACTTTCTCCCCAAGAAAGGGCTTGTTTTTCATGACAATTCCTATATTTGCCGGGGTCTATAAAATAGATCTATAAGATCCAAATTCCTTGCCGTCAACTTTTTGCTAGATTGTTCTATTAAAAATTATACCTTTTTCTTGAGAAATCTTACATGAAATGGAGTTCGAGAAATAGACCCTCGTAGCTCAAATATGATTGACTTAATTTTTATGTCAAACTGCTACCATGAGCAAATTTTCATTATAAAATGTTAACAGTCAGGCGTTTAGGCATATACGGAGGTTTAGATTTCGTGAGAATTGTTAGATGCACTGGTATCCCAAAAATGAAGCTAGGTAGTTCAAATTTTGTAAGGTTGTGAGTTCTTTGCCAATTTACTACTATGAACCATGAAATATTCAAAATTGTGCTTTTTTGCCATATAAAGATTCAGTTTTCGTAGGAACAGTTATATGAGGAGGTGTGCAAACAATTTGTTTAATCAAATCGTATCTCTTATATTAATTCAGAATGTCATAGGTACTATTACTCATCGAGTTTTGTCGAAATATTTCGAAAAGTATGATCGAAAAAGTTGACCAATCGGAATTTTTTGCATTAACTATCCTTCTTGCGTCGAAGCACTTCGTTGTACCAAATTTCATCAATGTGTTTCAAAAGTGCCGGACCTATAGATCGAATAAAAGGAAGCAAGGCGGACAGGCAGACAAGCTTAGGGGATCGTGCTATAATTGTAAAAGGTGGGTCTTCTGGATTATTCGCATAAATTTAATATATCCTGTATCACAAGTGATATAATATATAAAAACAAATTTTTGAACTTTTCTAGTTAATAAATTATATTAACGGTATTTGCAGGTATTCATCTGAGATGATGATCATTCAAAAATGGCAATGAAAGTCCCGATGGACAAAAACTTTCGAAAAAGTCAAGAGAGGCTTTTGAATAAATGTAGTGAAAAGAAATATAAAACTCTGTAGAAGGCTCGCATTAAAAGCCGTTACTCAATTTTTTAAAAATTAAACATTTTGCTTAGAAAAGCCCTCACAATTTCAGACGCGAAGATTGCGCAACAGTGAAGAAGCGTAAATGCTAATGAAAAGCAAAATATTTCAGCTAGAGTGCTGCGCTTCCTCTTCTCGGAGCTCTGAAAGGTCGCAGCTGTACACAAAAACTAAGAGTGACGCAGGTCGTGCATCTTAAGTCTTGTGAATTTGACAAGTAAATGAAATTTAATGCAAATTCTAAGAAGAAAAGGTCTTAAGGAACACAGCTTAATATATATATAAATATATATATATATATATATGTGTATATAGTTATGTTCATCTTATTCACTTGTGCATTCACACTTGAAACTAATTAATACCGTCTTAATTATTGAGTTATTATTAATAATATATTTTAGACAATTTAGCACCTCGACTAGCGCTGTACACATATATCCACATGTATTATGTATACACGCATGCGTGCCATTTAAGCATTTTAATTTTGATTGAAATGAGTGAATAAATCGCCCGCGAACGTATTGAATAATAGTGAGTCCATGTTTTTTCCACTTTTCGATTCTAATATTTATTCGTTGAGCATAAATTTTATCATTCACTGAACACTTGCGCATGCTTGTGAATATTCGCAGCAGTGTTGTACTGTTTGTTGCTTATTTGTTTGTTGGTTTGAAATAGTTTTTTTTTTTTTTTTTCTTCTTCTTCAAATTACAGAACTTTTACTTTAATCGAATTTATTTGACCCAATTATTTGCTTTCTAATTAATTGAATCAATCAATAATTGAATTAATTTATTTAATTGTTTTATTCTTAATACTTACTTTTGTTAATAATAAATTCTAAAAAATATTAATTCTATTAATTACTTTAATTTAAGTTAAATTTCTTTTATCTACACATATATATATTTCTATATATATTTCGTTTATTTCTATCTTTTATTATTATTTATTTGTTGTTTTTTCTCTTTTAATTGTTTATTACTTTCTTACATAGCATTCTTTTTTCATTTCCTTAAATAACGAATTTAACAAATTTGAATTAAAAAAGAAAAAATTGTTTTCTTTACTGTTTTTTTGCTTTTTTTTCTTGTTTTCCTTTGCTAATATTTTGCAATTTACTTCACTTTTACAAATAAAAATTCCGCAAAAACGAAAACAAACACAAACACAAATCAATATAATTCACGCAAACACTAATAATAATGATTTTATTATTTTATTGTTCCCCAGTGGTGGTTAATTTTGAAATTAAATTTTAAATTTCAACCGCGAAAATTCACACTGTGTGAAATTGCAGGAATAATCATCGCTTCATTCGGATAAATTATAAACAAAGAGGTGTGCGCTGGTTTGCGTTAGCACCAGCCAAACCAAATATCAATCAAAAATAATTTTTCTTCTTCTGATGGCAAACTAAAGCGCAAATAATAGAAGAAACTCAAGTTAGTTTCGAGTGAATTCAAATACTGGCAACGACAAACTAAGACTTTACGTTCACCATGGTGGATATTTATATTCGCAGCAAAGGCGGGCGCGTGTGCTTATAAGCACAGAAAAAAAAAAACCTCAACATAACGTTGCAACTTGAAAAGCCGGCACCCGTATAAATTTTACAAAGACGTATTCAAGTACTCTATATGTTTGTTTATATATATGTATAAGTTTATTATTTAACTCAACTTTTAGATATTAAGGAGCAGTTATTACTATTATTTCTTAGATGCTTTTTCGCTTATAGAGTCTCTCCATTTCGTGCATAATTAGATTATGTCCCATGCGGTTAAAATATATTATTGGGACAAGGCACTAAATAGTTATGATCTATAAAGTTGCCATTGCTACTTCGAACAATTATTCAAAACTTTTCGTTTCTTATTCACTGATGCTTACTAGTGACAAAAACATTATTTATATCTTCTCTCCCAGGCTACGCTGTACTTATGGCTTTATTTGTTTGAATATCTATACAATTTGGAAACATTTCTTAAAATTCATGTAGCTTTTGTATTATCAATGCATGTCAATGCATTCTCATCGAATTATTATATTAAATTTTATAGTAACACAAAGGTATGTTTCATCCCTTTCAAGATCTGATTTTCGTTTCAATCTTTGTCAACAATTTATTTGGGAGAGGGATTAAAAGAGTGTTTTGTTTATCAAATATATTAGCTAGATCCGCCTAAGTGTCCGAGTTGGCAACAGATCTCGACTAACAACTCAATTGTCGTTGGATCAAATCTCAAGAGCTGTAGAGTTTCCAAAAAGTCGATGGCCTTAGATGGTTAGCTAACCTTTAAGATCTTAGTCTGAGAATTTCCTACTCTGGCAAGTCAGTACGATTTTCATCAAGCTTCGCCATTTTGTGAGAAAACCCACTGACACATGAATTTGTCTAAGAGATACAAGGCTATCTTTCAATTTTTGTCTTTTTCTTTTTTTCTATATGAACAAGCACTTAGGGGATGTCCTTGTTTCTGCTTTCTTTCCTCCCTCCCCCTCTCTCTCTCTCTCTCTATCTACCTATCTATCGATCTCTTTCTAAGTAAGTCACGCTATCAATTGGTGACAGCGGATTGTAAGCCTGGATTAAATGTATATCATATATTCGGACAATGCTAATATATGTTGACCTATATGTTACTTTTTGCATTAAGCAGACAAAGAGAGTTATAATAAGTGTACCTTCACATATTTCTACGATAGGATTGTAGAATATTCAATATTCGCTCATTACTGGTTGTTCTTAAGCTTTTTAAAGATAAATATCAATAAGTTTCTTTAATAGAAGAGGAAAAGATTGAATAAAGAAAAAAAGTTCACATACTGGCAATAATGAAAACGCTTGGATTTAACGCTACTTAAGCAGCAGATGGAATGACTGTAAATTAGACTTGACTTAAATGTCATAGGAAGAAAAAAAAAATTAAACACTTTTAATATTTTTAATTATTGCGATTTAGTACAATAACGATTTCAATATTGTATTACATCACAGGTATTGCCTAAGAATAGTCTTGAATCAAATGCCAATGAAAGCGCAAATATGCTTTTCTTTAATCCTCTTTAAAATATGCTCTGCCCCTGTGGCAAAAAGAGAGAAGATAAACATCAAATCGAAGTCAAGACTCAAGGCGAAGACTGGCCTACACTAGCAAAGCAAATGCATATAGAACTGGCTTTTCATATACATACGTTCAAGTGTTTTGCTACAAGTCTATTGAATTTAGAAGAAGAATAATCGTTTGGCGTATGGTGATTATAAACACGAAAGGGAATCATCATTAATATATGAAGTAGTTTGAGAACGTCTGGGAGAAGCAATTTTATAATATAGTGATAAAATAAGAAATTAAAAAAACACTTTCTATTTATTTTACCTTTAAAAGTTTATGTTTTGTTTATTTTTACTTTTTATATAACAAATTTTTTTTCTTTTCTTTTTTGGTTCCTAATTATAGTGAAAGCAATAGCAGCACTATCTAAGTAATCTATTTTGTTATTATTTATTTTAATTTGTTTAATTGTGAATTATTTTCTTAACATTTTCGAAACATGCCAAAAAAAAAACAGCCGATTATATTGGCCATGTGCAGAGTCTTAAACGCCGATTACCTTAACCTCCTTTTATTTATTGCTAGAAACCCATAAACCTATCGAAATCTCTTTCACTTTCTTTAGACCGTTAAAGAGATGAATCAATCGACTCAGGAGATCTTATCCTTTACTCGAGAATGAATATCTTTCCTCTAAGATCAGTCCCTTCAAAAAAATCTATTCTCTAACAAAACATCAACGCATGTCCCTGAATGCTTTGATACGTCCAAAAGGCAGTATAATTATTAAATATTGTGTTCATGACATTTTATCATTTTAAGAATCCATCAGGAAGGAATCTTACTCAAAAAGGACGTTTGAATAAATAATAACAAATGGATCTTGAAGAACTCTTCCTCCCCAAACAGCAATTGTGGACAAATTCTCGCTATAAAGCACATCCTCTGTGACTGGCTTAACTTGACCTTGGCTAGAAGTATTGCATTTAGAACGATTAACCCTATCGATATTCTACAATCAGCTACAGAATAGAATATCTATACACAATATATTACTTCATCGAAACTACTAGGTCCAATATCTAATGTACTTTTATAAATTAGAGCCGATAGCCAGTGTTGCTAGTACTCAATCTGTTTTTTTTTAGTCTAAGAATTTATTTCATTATTTTAAAATAATAATAATAATCACAAAAAAAAATAGTAAATGATCTTGTTTGGGTTTAGGTTTGTCTATTTGTGTGTCTAAGAGATTCTCTACAAAAGATACATGGTTTTGAGATGATACAGGCAGCTACGGAGAGACAAAAAACCTAAACATTACAAATGTAGTGCAATGTGTTTTTATTATTCAATTATCTGTCCCGGATTACCTAAGAGAAGAAGTGTTTACGATTTGCTAAAAAACTTTAAATTTCATTACCTCAACAATTAACTTGTCATTAAGGAAAAAAATTTATGCTCTACATAATCTCTAGTTAATGGTTTTTTGTTTTCGTTTGACAAAGCAATCGCTTCAAGGCATTCATGTAATGCATTGCATGGCATTAGCCAATGTAACTCTTAGCTATTTTGCAAATGCGTAGATTTCTTTGTAATTGGACAGATCTACGAAAAAAGTACGTGTTACGGTAGAGTGCGAAAGAAGGGCTTCATCAGATTAACTATATCAAGTGTAGCTTTGTTTTCTTCTTCGTTTAAGTTATTTATAGACAGTGTCATTATTACCGTCCGGTAAAGGTACAAGGTTGTACACCTATGATTGAGATGAATACATAGTAAGTAAACAGGTATTTTAGAACATTTCCATTAAATTTTATGAAAATTTCTTGTTGAGAATAAAACGCAGCATAAGAGTTATTTGAGCAAAAGCAATTCGCCAGCGCTTTTGCAAAACATAGACGCATTGGAATTGAGCGTAGCCTTACTTCTTAAGTTGGAAACTTATATACATTCCGTGGACATACTTGTTGAATATTAGAAAGCATTTCTATACCCATCACCGACGAATGAAGATGAACTCATTTTGTCAAAACCTTTGCAACGCTCAGAAGGAATCTTCAGAGATCCCAGAAAGTATATACATTCTTGACAGGAATTGAACGGATTTAAGCATGTCTGTCTGTCCGTGTATGTAATATATGTTGTAAATATTCTCCTGGCCGCAAAAATGAAACTACCAAATTTGGTAGAAGCATAGAAAGTTCTTACAAGCAAGTTGGTATTGAAAACGGACCTAGTACATTAGTACTGTGCGATATGCCGACAATATCACGTAAACTAAGAATACCTAAGTTTCTCAAAAGGAATATAAAATCGGTCTTTTGCTTCTTATTTATAAGCTAAAGCACATAAATCTCCAAAATTTGAAGGCATATCCTATGGCCGATGCTGAAGTACCAGTACAAAAAGATTAAAAATTGACCACGCCTACCCAATATTATAATGTATAAAAATGTAATATTTTTTCCAATGGTTTTATAATGCGGACAACCAGCCTTCAAACACCCCACAAAATATATAAATTCCTGGTCAGTTTCGTATTCGAAAAGCACCTAAGCATGTCTGGCTGTCCGTCTCTCTGTTTGTGCGATTGTGAAGTGTGTGTGCGTGTGTGTGGAGTATCTGTGGTGAACATTCTGCTGGTCGCAAAATTGGAAACATCGTCTGCAAATTTGCAAAAGAATTTGAAAATAGGTCAAATCGGTCAAGGAACACACGAACAATGCCCAAACACCTCTAAAACAAGAATTGTCAAAATCTTTCCTTTCCGCGTGTTTTCTTTGCTACCAATAAACCCATAAATACGTACAACAAATACACTATACAAATCTCCACTTTTATTCTGAAAATAGAACAAATCAGCCGCGCTTACCCCTTTACATAGAATATGAAAATTTAGTTCTTTTCTCATGTTTGTTCTTCTCTTTTTAGGATAATGCTACTGGGTATAAAAGATTTTGTCAGGACCGAATATAATTTTCTTAGTTGTTGCATTTGCGGTGGTTTTAGATAAATTCTGAATAACGGGGCGCTATCAAATCTAAACTGCGGTATTTTCATCGCAATGATTAAATCGAAATAATTTCGGAGATGTGCACTAAGCTCAGAACTAATCTTTCATTTCTTTAGAATCTTAAGAAATCCAGCAGTACACGGCGGACTTGGGCACGAACGTGGATCCATTGTAAACTCGTTGATTAGTACTTCTTGACAAAAACAAGAACAAGAGAATAGTACACCTAGTATACATATATCATTCATTGTGCATTCATATCATTCAAGGTACAGCCAAGTAATAGGCGCTTACACGTATTCTGGTCAGTCACATTTGTAGGTAAAAACGATAAACCAATGGGAATTGTCAATGTACACAACGATTAAATTTGATGATTTTGACCTTTCTCAAGGGCTCAAAGCAAAGGTCAAATCTGCATTTTCGAGATTCATTACTCTTGTTGTTTGATTTGAAGATATTTCTTGCCGAAGCCCGTCAAACATTTGTAGACGCTTACGATGACGCTGCTCCATCATATCGCAATTGTTGGTTTTAGCTTCAACGTTGGTCTGTTTAAAAGGTGTGATTTTGACATCAACGTCAAAGAAACGGCCTGAAGGACCAAAAAAATTCAAAGACAATGGATTGCAAGACTTATTGGACGAAAAGCCAGCTCGAATTCTCAAAAAACTTTTCAACAGATTAGCAGTTGATCAGTCAACTTTTTCTAGACGTCTAGATACGATGGACATCGCCCACAAGAAGGTAAAATGATCACCATATGAATAGACTACCACTTCGGGCGGTTTAATTGCTTGCCATGCAAAAAAAGAAGAGGTTTTTGCGGCGTATTGTGATTGGCCATGAAAAGTTGATCTATGGGTCAAGTTTTGCTTTTTGCATATGGTGGGCTCGGCAAGGTGTGGTGTGTTATGGGCTGCTAAAACCGAATGAAACTGTTACTGCATATATGCTGCTGTAAAATGATCAAAATTCATGCAAGCATCTTAACAAGGTATACCGAAAAGAATTTTTAAGAACTATATATATATATATATATATATATATATACTTATATATTAAGGGCAAAAATCTATGATTCCCATTCGAATAAAATTTTACGAATAATGTCCCAATCGGATAATTTAGAAATATTTCACGCCCTTCACGGCCTGTCGGCTAAGAATCGGATCACTAGAAAATGGAATAGATAACTTTTCATTCATTGAGAATAGTATTCAGTATGATTTTAGAAATTGTTACTTTATAATTTTAATGAAAAATTATATTTTATTGTTGGTTTTCTTTTCTTTTTTTTTCAAAATACTTCATTTGGATTGTAGTCCTTTTCTTCAATCTTCTGCCTGGCTTTAGCTAATTTTGCTGATAATTCAGAGGAGCGCAGAGTTTTATACTAAAATCATGGATAATACAAAATTTAATTTAATCGATTTGAATCGGTTCGACATTATTTATAAAATAATAATTAAAAATTACCTCAGATATATTTTTTTGTAAAACAATTTGTGATATTAACCGACGGCTTTCATTATGACCGAAATAATTTTCAAGAGTATGAGGTGATAGGGCGAACAATTCGCGTCCATTAAGACTGCGTAGCTTATTCACAATTGCATCCGAGAAACCTTTCGCTCGCAGCCATTCTTCAACTTCCTCAGGGTTAGAAGTTTGGTGAATATAGATGTGTGGAGTTATCAAAATTTCTAAATCCTTGCGACGCTCGCGTTGCAAAAGCGTAAATTTCAATTCATCATTTATAGTATTTTGAAGAAGTAAAGCTTCATTCTCACTATCAGGGTTATTACGGGCAAGCACAGCTGCAAGATAAAAAATAACAAGAGAATGAGTAAGTAAATGAAATGCAATGTGAATAGGACGAGTGCGAATCCGCGACCATACCGCTGCGCTTCATTGTTCCGCTTGGAGTGTTGTTAGCAGAAGGAGGTGGCATTGGCGGTGGAACAGGTACTGCGGGCATACTTATCGAACGAGGCATTGAGCTTTTATGTACAGTCGTCTGGGATTCTGGCTGATGTTCTATTGGCAACGTTAGAGCGTGAACAGGCCGTTTCGTTTTTTGATCTTTCATGTCGTTATCAAACATAGAAGAAACTGGCGAATCTGTCTCTCTTCCGGTGTAATCAGATTGCATGTCAAAATTATATGGCATAAGTATAGTATATGGAACGTACCCAAGATTACCGATCGAATTCCGAACTTTCCACCATTTACGTGAATCGTCGATAACCTTGAAGTAAAGAAAAGTTATTGTCATCTCAGGTGAAGCTTTCAACGGTTAGCACCAGTGTTGTAATTTATTATAGAAATATTCCCAACTATGGTCCATACAAAGTTTGTGTGAATGGTATTACAATTTCGATAAACGAGCGGAAAGGATCGTATTTTTAGAGGGGTAGGCTAATCAACGGTATATCTACTTTGAAAGCTGTCTCCGAAAGAATTTACTGAACAGAGTCGATTTATATCTGTCTCCCCGAGAGTTTATTACGAATGGTACACATTTCTTGATCAATTCCGAACATATAGATTATATTTTGATTTCAGTGCTTTTTCGAGCATTGACCTTTGGATATTGTGATTATATTGCCCCTTTTTCACCCTGGTTTTCTTACCTCTAGATACTCGCCAACGGTGACATCTAATTCTTTGTGATTATTGGCTGTTTTGTTGTAAAGAACTTCGGCAATTTTGACATTTCGACTTTTCAAGCGCTCCAACCAAATATTATTCTTGCCAGGCATAAGTAAGGGTGACGGCGATGCTGATCTAGAATCTTTTCTATTTTTAATATTGACTGGAGGTAAATAAGGCACTGGTTCATCTACAACCCAATCTGGCGACCATTCGTCATAGAAGATGGGTTGAAATCGCCCCTTGTGATTTTTGAATTGATCTTTGGGAATTGTCCAATTTGATCCAAGAGAATGCCAAAACTCGATTTCATTCTCGTCAAGACATGATTCAAGAAATACTATAGTCTCTCGCTTTAATAGGGGATCTACTACATGCTTTGGTATTTTTGCTTCGTAGTAGACATCGTTACACACTTTCACAATAGTTTGCAACGAAACGAATGAGTTATGTATGGGATCAATATAATTTTGGAAATGATTTTGTAATTTCTGAATGTAGTTTAAGGCCAACTTGTGTTTTGCCAAAATATCTTGAAACTCACTCTCCGTTGGTGGACGAGAACGAGTCACTAGCAAACCTTCGCCGTTGGAGTTGTGTTCATATTTTCTTAAATCTAATTCTTTTAATGCTTCGGCGGCATATTGCAAACGCGTAACGAAACATTCGATATCCTCAAAGCAATGATTTACGACTTGTATGTCTTTGGCGATTTGTTCCTGTTCATTCATGTTATTCTCTGCAGCGATTTCTGCAGCTTTTAGAGCGATATCATGTTGATCTTTAGCTGTTTGTGTTGATTTTCCATTTTTAGGCAAAGCAATATGGCTCTCGTTGCGATCAACCGTTACCAGTTCGCCATTGCTTAATGTTTTCAAATCCTCAACTAAATGTACAGCTGATACATCGCTTACCTAAGACAAAAAAAACAAATATAAAACGCTATGTACTTAGGCTTAACTATGCAGTTACCCTACGCAATCAGAAACAATCGATGTACTTTAATCAATTTGAATCTGATTACAATATAACTACCATTCGTAAATATATTGAGCAACGGAAGGATTGTAGGGTAACGTGTTAGTGGATTATAAGAGCATAATCGAAAAAGTTGCGTATAGATTGCTTATTATTTACCGCTAACCTGAAAAAAATGCATCTCTGTGTTAGCTAAGGTAACGCCGGGCACCGTAAATACCAATATGTTATCATATGCTTCCTTCGTATCTTTGCTAATGAACGCCACTGGCTCAGTGATAAGAGAACCGGGGAAGTTTTCAATTTCTTTCAAATCGTGATCCAACATTACCAGCCATTGGCCATTAAAACACATATACATTTTCAACGGCCATATTCCTCCACTTTTATCCAACTCAAAAAGACTCTTTAGTTTCTTTTTTGGTCGGCGTATTTCCTCTTCATTTCTTAGTTTAAATGTGGCTAAATGTTCCAAAGCATACGTCGGCTTTACGTTCGTCTCATTAGTAATCAGATTATTTTTAATTTCAAGTGTGTGCTGTGTCATTGCTTTATAATTAAAACTTCAAAATAGAACTAAAAATGAATTCTTTGAAATTAATAAAAATAGTTGGTTAAGTGATCAAAACGCTATTTGCACTTATGTACAAAATAATTAATTTAGCAAACAAAGAAGTACTGCTAGAAAGCAAAATTCGGAGAACATCTATTTGGTTGCCATTATGTTTGTCTTCATACCTATCGCCAAAGCTTGAGGCGTATATTAGTTTTGCCAAAACGTTGGCAACGCCCAGAAGAAAGTTTCAGAGACCCGACAACTTATAGCACCATCAAAATCCGAATCGATTTAGGCATGTCCGTCTGTCCGTCCGCTTAATTTCTGTTATAAACATTCTCCAAAAATGAATCTATCGACTTCAAGTTGAGCAGAAACGTTCTAAGTTCTAGCACGCAGGTTGATTTCGAAATGGGAAGCACACGCTTACAGTACCAGATAAATTGAGAATAGCTCTCTGCCTTATAAAAGAAATAAAAAATTGGCTTTTCGCTTCTTATTTATAAAATAAAGCCCATTAATCTACAAAAACTCGGAAAGTGTATTCAATGGGCGATACTGCAGTACCAGTACAAAATGGGGAAAGGTTGACCCAATATTCTAGTGTGTCTTACTTAGTATAATTTTTTTCCAATACCTTCATAATGCGGAGAAACATCAAGAATGTAAATTCTTGGCGAGTTTCAAAATCGAAAAAGACCTAGGCGTGTCCTGTTGTTCGTTCGTTCCTCTCTCTATCTGTGCGACTTTGTAGTATCTGTGGTAAACATTCACCCGTTTGCAAAAATAAAGATATCACCTACAAATTTGCGAAAGAATTTGAAAATGAGTCTGATCGACAATGGTTTTAAGCTAACCTCCTAGTCAGAATTATAATTTCTAATCAGTAGATAAACAGCTATTGAAAAACTACCAGCTATTTTGCTTTACAGAACCGTAATCGTCCAGAATGTATAATTCTGCGTTCATTAGGAGATAAATAACAAAAAATATTTTCAATTCTCGAAACGTCCATTTTCGTTACATTGCAATACTCTGTGGATACGTTTCCAAAAATATATATAAATATATTTTTTATAAAAATATATTTTTTCTCACAAATAAATTCATTCATAATCGATATCTCAGTAATAAATTTGCGAAATTGTTCTAAATTAGCAGGCGTAGCAGAGTCGACTTAAACAAAATGTAACCTGCGTCGCACATTGTTTTTTTTTTTTTTTTACGTAAATTTTGATAAGATAAACTTTAACTGCAGTCTCCGTCGAATTTTATTTCGTAGTAAGTCAATAGTAAAAACACCAAATATTTTAATTAATTTTGAGGTAAAGAAAATAATCTTAATATTGATCCTAAATATTTCACCACTGGCTGCTGTGATTCGGAACAGAATCGTTTTATTATTTATTATGATGAAGATATTTAGTCAATTTTTTTAATCACTTGATATTCTTTGCGAAATTTTGTAATTATTCGAACACTACTTTAGCACGTCAATGGCCGTGATTAACAATCGAACTAACATTGATTCAATCAGAGTGGTTTGGATTCATTGCTGAAATATGAGCGAACTGATTCTTATCAAACTATATAAAACATATGACATGCTATCGTAAACATTGATAAAGATGAACATTCATTAGGCGTTATGTCATAATCAATGGAAAAAATCTGCAGGACTATTATTTTTAATTATAATTAAAAATTTCACTACTAAGGGTCGCATTGCAATGACATTGTTATTAATTTTGTAATAGCTAGATGTATGCTCCACAATCATTGCACAACCATTCTTAATCATATCTTGACTTAATCAGTCTGTCCGTCCCTCCATGCGAAAGGGTATTTTAAAACTTGACAAATAGATTCTTGATTTATCTCCGAAGATTTCGAAATAAATTCTGTTTGATAGAATAAAAAATCGACCAAAAAGTTGCATTTGCTATTTAAACAGATTGTAGTCGATACCTTTCCACTTATACAAGATATCGGTTTAAAATTTTTGCAAAAATAGGAAATATGTATGTGTGGTATATATATATGTGGTATATATATATATATATATATATAGGGGTGTGTGTATGTATTTTTGCGCCAGTGCATATTTTTTCTTTTTATATATATCTACAAACAGGTTACTCAACGAAAATATTTATATTGCGTGCGACAAGTGCATTTTAATACGTTATTGAAATACGTAGGATATCGCAAATAATGTTCTGGAGGAAATTCTTACGTCACATGTTTTTTAAATTTTTAGTCATAAGGAGTGCTCTTATGATGGAGATAGAAAATGATCTCGACTAACAACAGGTCAATGACCATGGATTCGAGTAGAATTTTCAATAAAGCCGATAGCCTTAGAGGCGCTAATGCTTTCAGATTTTACTCTGATTTAATAATAATAATAATAAAGCGTATAAGTTAAGGTTTCCATTTTTGATTTACACAATAGTTTACAAAGGTGAAGTCTTTGTCTCTCTCTTGTTTGTCTCTCGTTTTTTAAAATTGATCGGTTTGCGGACAACTAACAATGGTTGATGATACATTTTTCAAAACTTTCCAAAATTAGTATTGAATTGTATTCGCCAGATGTGATCTGAAATTGCACAAATCAAACAGGGTAATAAAAACACTCTGTGAACATTCTGGTTTCGCTTGAAGAGCTTGGAACAACATTCAACTTGTCTTAGTTGGCTATATCTGCCGCGTGCCTTTATTTAGCTCAAAATGCGTGCCTTGTTTACAAAGCAAATGTGCAAATACGAGACTGTAAGTCGTTAACACAGCAATAAAGGAATAAAATTATACATGAATGGCGCTCATAAAACTTAGTTATAAGCTCTAAGAAATAATATTAAGAAATTTTCCAAATAATTAACATTTGCATGTGTACAGCCAACCATTCAGCGCATGTTACGTAGTACAGAATTTTTGGATCTTATTTACATATATTTTCACACTTATTAGTGACATGTTTAAATTTTATAATGAATTAATTAAATTTATGTTGCAATCTTATTTTCAACAAAATTGCATTGAAGGTTATTTATTAAAAAAAAAAAAAAAAAAAATGAAAATGAAAATTCAACAATCGAGAAATTCATTGACAGTGTTCATGTCCATGACAATTTATTGCAGTGTGCGTGAAAAAATGTAAAAAAAAAAAATTAATATTTTTTAAATGAACGTAAAATTTTAAATAGATGTAACTGTGTAATTGCTTTTATTAGTTTAACTGGTACTGAAACATTTGAAAGTGACTGCCTACACATTTTAAGCGGTATGCAGGGGCAGTCGAATTTGTAGAGCTATAAGAAACTTAACCAACTCAGCCAGATTAGCTTGCCGTTAAAGGTTGAATAATTTGCTCCTCCAAACTTCGATGGAAAAAATGGGAAGGGCTTTCGTACTTACGTTATGTGCAAATCAAAAAGCAAAGATAAGAACAAGCATTTATGGTAAAGACAATGTGCCTGTTCGCTATAGTACATGTGGCAGTAATTGCAAAACATCTACACTTTCAGTTTTACGTTTTCTCAGACGAAACTTACATATGGACGTCCATTACCTTATGTATGCATATAAAATTTTGTAATATGCTAAGTGCTCCTATAGGTACCAAATTTTGTGTGGTTAAGTGAAATAGGTTTTAGTTACAGTGTCTTGACTGGTCGACATGCTTACGGGTAACCATATATAATCTGCAGCCATGGGCCGAGAGGGTATCTGAGATATCAGCTATCTATTTGAATTTTTGCAAAAGAACTAATTCTAACAAAGCATTGGATGGGTGCTTTTGCTAATCAAGTTTTTTTTACATAAATCTATTCCTTATAGTTGTGAGACCTTGAAAGTACATATCTTAGTTTGCGAAGAAACCAACTCAGGGGTAGTAGGTAGAAAATTTATATAAATCATCCGAGCACTTCTATGCAGGTGCATGATTTACTTCTCGTTTCATTGCTTTTCGTTGCTCATCTTACAAAGGATGAAAGAATTGTAGCGAAAAATTCAAAAACTTCTGTATTCTATTAAATAATACGACAGCCAGCCACTCCCTACAGTAGCCATATATATAAACAAGTGCTTCAATAGTATATACAAGCGTCGCGTATAGAATGGCAAGAAAATCGTGCTTTATATTTATTTCCGTTTCAAGTAGATTTTTGTTTTTATTTTATGTTTTTCTGATCGTTAACTTGATGTTGACACTCGCAACATTTTATTGCCCAATCATTGTTTAAGTGAATCCGAGCATTGCACTGAAGGGTTACTGAAAAGAAGGAGAACATAATCAGAAAAAGGAGATGATGATCATATCAATGTGAATTTATGGCTCTGTAGATGTACTAACTTCTTGGAAAATATCCGGAAAATGTTTGAAGGAACATAAACTAGATTCGAATTAGCACAAAGTAAATCGGCAGCAGAGATTCCCTTAAGTTCGTTGATGAGAGCAAATAGTTCAGACCAAGCTTCATCCTGATAGCGTAGTTTAGAAAATTGTTCAGCTAGAAAATCCAGAAGGGAAACAAAGCACACAAAATTAAATGCTTTCCTTATTAAGAAAAACGCTTGTATATGAAAAGGTTTACCTATAATACACTGAAACGTTGGTCCAACTGTAGCATTTGGGGCCGCAGACTCCGATATTCCACCGACTATCAAATCGATATCCATGAAGTTTCTATACGCATTTTTCAATTTATTCAACTCCTGTCAAGAAACAAGGAAAAATGACAGACGAAAGTCTATTATTGGTTAAACATGATGAGAAAACTATAGCTTTTTCTCTTGCGGTACAGAACCCTTAAGAAAAGCCAGTGAGCTTGGTAAAGACCACTAGAAAAGTGAACACTTCCCCTTTTTAGACTTTTATAAGCTATTGTGACTTGGGTCGCCCTAAGGTCGGTTACCGAATATTGTTTACATTAAAAAGCATTTAGATGTATCGCTAATTAGCTTGCAATTAAAGAGCTTTCGTTGGCCGATCGGCTACGGGCAAATATTAAAGGTTTTGGTTTTGTTTGCAGTTTACAAGTTTTTAATAGCAATGCGTTAAATTCATTGCTTTTGTTTTTCGTTCATATAACTGCTATGGATGGATCACAGGAAAATGATCATCAAATATGCAGGTGGATGGAAGCTTGACATGATCTTTCGACTTGATTTCTGGACTTGATGGAATTCCATCGAATTACTTAAATCTTGCGCTATCGACCTATGTGGTGTTATCTCAAAGATTTTTAACTAGTGCTTAAATTTAGGTGTTTTCCCTTTTTGTTGGAAGAGTAGTTTGCTTACTCTTATTCCAGTGGAAGGAGACAACTTGTTGAGAACTGCAGAGGCATTGCCAAGTTGAGTGTCTTGCCTAAGCTGTTTGAGCGAATATTGACTCAGCGTTTGGCATTAGCATGGCTTTCGGAAAGGGCGATCTATAGTCACCAATTTGTTAGAGTTTACTTGTAATGTTTTCAAGGCTTTTTTTAGTGGCTCTCGCACAGATGTTATATGCACTGATTTAAGCAAAGCGTTTGATATGGTCAACTACAACTTACTTATCTTTAAACTCAAAGCCTCTGTCTTCCCTTTCTATTTAGTGAAATGGATAAGCTCTTATCTGCACAATAGATCCTTCAGGGTTCTGTTTAACTTCGTCAACTCGGATGAATTTCACGTGACGTCTGGCGTACCTCAAGGTAGCCACTTAGACCCATTTTATTGCTATATTTGCTATATCTCTTTAGATTGTAAAGAAAGAAAAGATACATCTGCTAAACGCTGTAAAGCTTTTTTGACCTGCTTAATTATAATTCCAAATCGGTCATGTCCATAAAAGTGCTCTTATGCAAGCAGATTGGACTTGTAGAACCAAATTTAGAAAACTTGTTCATGTTGCTTTATGAAGTTTTTGAAGTTTATCCTACCAGTAGCCGACGATAGAATGATAAATAAACGGCATCATCCGTGAAGCATCCAGTTTAGGGCAAATCTTACTTTTCTGACTGTTCTTGGCGGCAGACATATAAGTTTTCTTATCAAAATCCAACGCCCATTTCCACCCATTTACATACCTTCAAAGCAATAAACTTCCCCAGATCATTCCAATTATTTATATTTGTCTTCTTGCATTCTTCCAAATATTTCACATATGGCTTAAGTCCATGATCACGATTGCGTTGAATATCAAAAGCCAATATATCCCAATGAGTGGGCGGTAAATCCCTCATGAAATTTGTTAACAACTATTCTTAAGTATACATTAGTATTAATGAAAAAATTCGTAGAATTTTTAGATGTACAATAAACTTACGCTATTTTCATATGTGGCATCCATTTTTATGGCTTTTTGATGCAATAACGAATATAATACGTCGTTGAATTTTTTTGTGGTATATTGAAAAGTGGGATTATAAATCTCTTTCTTCAATGCGAAAACGTTCGAGGAATATGTTATGATTGGTGGTGGGCTAACATGTTTCTCGCCACTTCGGGAGCTAAGTATAGTGTATTCTACTAAATGATCAGAATTGCGCAATATATTTGGAATCATTGAGAAAAAAAATCTGATACCCGCGACACCGAACTCATTGGATATTTGCTGTTCGTTATCGCGTATAATCTTCTTATTGATATTCGAAGCCAATGAATTCCCTATGACCTCGGGTAGCCATTGTTCGAATACAATATGCCGATACATCAGAATATTAATAGTTTTCGCCTTCTCAAACAGCATTTCATCATTCCATTGAGGGTATTTGATTTTTAATTTTCGAGCTATACGATTATGATTCCGCATGAAAATTGTATAGATGACAATGGTGTAGGGATTGTTGTTGACACGCGAATCGCCAGCCATAAAACATAACTGTTTATTCATATCGGCTTCTTTTATAGAGCAAAATTTATGCATGCGTTCATTAGGTACCAGAGGTAATAGTTCATCTCCCCGCTTTAGAGAATTTGTTGATTTCAACAAACCGTCCTTGTACGAACGCATAAGCTTTTGTTCTTCATCCGCAGAACCATACAGTTGAGAGAGATCTAGAGTGGGCGTGGCTTGGTTAAACTATTTAGGAATACATATGTAAGTCTAATAAGTGCACGATAAGATTAAGTGGTTTTAGATGAAATACTTTCTCTGGAGCAGCAAACGTGCAGTTGTCCCCAACTGTTAGTGCACTTCGAACATAGGTGAGACATGTATCAGGACCGTACTTCAACGATATGTCTTCGCTTAATAAAGGCGCACATGCGGGATGACGATAACGCGGTTGAAGTTTATGATTTCTATTATCGCAGCATTCAATCGACGAACCGTCGTCTATAAAAAAAACATTGTTGACATCTGTTCTTAAACTAAATTTTCATTAGATTCCTTAAGTTCCATAGGAAATGTGATATGTAGAGGAATATAATTGCAAACAAATAAAACGAGTACCATAGAAGGTAGGCCCAGATTTATTCTAACCGTTATTCTTGTTTCTCCCCGTTTTAGAATCTAATATGCAAGTTCATTAGGAATTGTGATAGCAGCGGATACAGCGGTGGTCTGATGATATTCTCTCGAATATCCTCAGCCTTTTCTTCGTACGGTTTAAGTACTGACCAACATTTTCTGCCACTAATCAATTGTCAATTATATGGCATGGCTTATATACGATTAGAAGCAGTTAAAAGAGAATTTAATTATATAGCCGAAGAAATATGATGCATCCATAATTTTATTAGCATTAATAATTTTATCTAAAGCCTAGCTCAGTCATGACGGGATGGTAGGGAAACATACTTAGGAGTCCTGCGTTGTTAAGAACACTGGCGCGTCCTTCCCTCATCCTCTCCTTTAATTCGAAGTTATGATTCCTTAAGACTCAGTCTCTCAAGTTTCAAAGAATTTTTAAGACGAGTAATGGAAAATAGAAACAGCGCTTATTTTCATCGCTTAGACAAGACTTATCATTCTAGAAATATTCGGAGAGCTTTCTTAGGAATTGTACATAAAATTAATTATAAAAGCAAACGGAACTTATATAGATGTTTGTGCAACGCACATGATTCCTCGACTATCACTAACTTGATTAAAATCTTATGCATTTTCTGCTCATAGCAGATCAACTCTTATACGCTTTTCACAAATCCTTGCGAATACTTGCATACATATATTGTTCAGCAGAAGGATGCACGCATTCGTTTAATATAAATTAATGAAGATGAAATCAGCGAAAGAGCTTCCCTGCACCAAAACTATAGCATAATAAAGACGTACTTACACATGGACATTACCACTGGTTTACTTAGATCGTGTTCTATGAACTGCGCCCATTGTATTATGGCCAGACTTTTGTTGCTATCGTCAAATTGTTGTTCCTCTTTGCCCCTTCCTAGCTCTTGTAGTTTTTGACTTATAAGTAAGGGATTTGGTAAATGATTAAACATCTAGAACATTTTTTAAATAATTATTTTTTATGAAAATAAACTTTGAAATAATTACTTGATGAAAACCATCCTTGTAGTGCCGCGGTAGCAATCGCCTAAAGGAATGAAGGTAGTCCATAGGTTGATTATGTAACATTTCCTCACACTGCTTGGTCAAATCATTGTTTCTCGGTAATTTCTTCTTGCTAAGCATTACTGCACACTTGTCTCCACTGATATTAAGAGGAGCACATTTACTATGGTATGCATTTAGACTTGCTTTGAGAATTTTTTCGCTAATAGAACTCTTCCGCTGAGCTCCACCACTCGGCAGAGTATCCAATAATTGGGTATGTGATATGCTGCCATTTTCCACTATTACGCGTCGTTTCAATAAGTTTTTCTCTAATCTTAACTGATCTGTAGAAAATGTTGAAATTAAATGAAAAAAAATCATTTCTTACCTTTGCTCTTGATTGTACGATTGAATGGCATCGGTGAGAAAGCCTTCCCAGTCATCTGATGTTAGAGAATTAATAACCTCCCATTCCTTTTCGCTTATAAATGCTGATGAAGCTAATCAATAAATGTAATTTTATTTGATTGTTATTCAAATACTTTTCTTCGACAAACACACACCGTCTCGAAAACTGTAATCAATTGTTGATCCCCTTAAAAGTTGTACTTGAAATATGAATATAATCCACGATCGGCTGAACATGTTCCTTTGGCTTGCAAAAGTTTACATTATACTATTCTGCTGTCGTTTCTTCTTCCCATTTACTTGCACGATACTGATTTCTATACATAAGAAAGATTCATTCATACGAAGCGATTGCAGATTACAAATAATACCAAAACAAATGGATGTTCGACGTTCGATTATATGTGTGCATTCGTACTCTCTTTCCACTTTCCCTTCTAATCGCTCGTATTTAAGTCTTTCTTTGTTAGTGCTGATTTCAAAAACCGTATCTACCGTACATAGACTCTCTCCCATTTAGTGGCTATTAAAGAAATGAAATATAAAAATATCGTTATCAGCAAAGAGTATTGTCACGAATATTACCAAATTGAAATATGTATGTGAACACTATCTCTATGACGAAAGTGAGCGAACAGAACCATTGTCGAAGGATGTGTTGAAAGTCGCATTGTTTGTAACATTCGAAATCGTTCACGGTGTATAAATTCTTCCTTAACCAAAAACTTTTAATATTATTTGGTCCGTTTCTTAACTACTAGTAATCAGAAGCATAAGCTCTGCCTTAAGCCTTAAAAAAAATTTAGATACCTTCTTGAACTTCCCAGCTATTGTAGGCATATCGGCATGGTCTAGCTCACGTCCGATCTCAATTTGTCTCTTAATTTATAATTTCGCGATGATGAACACAATTTTGATTTCACACCGTAGATACTCCTAAAAAATATATGTGTAACCAAAAATTACAAGTCGGTATATGCTAATATAAAGGCCTGCCATACTCATTTAAAGAAAAGCTTTAAAATTGCTAGTTTATATGAGGTCGCGTTTAAAAAACTGAAAAATATTGTGTCGTGAAATCAAATCCATTCAAAAATAGACCGATGCAGATTTATAGATGCATAATTCACGGATCTTGCATGGATGTTACTGGATTGTGCATATGCGACGACAACGTGGATATTCTCCATTATTTGGCAGTGAACTTCAAAAACATAAAGTTAATCTGGAGCCCATTAATATTCAACAACAGTTACTATGAGCGACAGCTTTCCCTACCGGACCACATTAGAAGAGAAGTAGTATTTAAAAAAAGAACCATGCAAAAGCATTCATCTTGGTCCATGGGGGCCTTTCTCCAAGTGGTACATAAAAACGAAGAGTACGTAGAATATAAAAATTTTAAAAATATATCCATATATCTGATTTTTACACAAAGGGAATAATAATATAGTTTATAAAGATTCAAGTAATATGAGCTATTTGTGTACCTTTATGAACTAAAACAGCTTCTCTTAATTGAATCAGTTATAAGGTCTGTATATAGAGAGATTTCCGGTAAACACATTTTATATAAGGAATTCTTAGATACATGTTCACAATACCATTAGTTTCAGGAGATGTATTTTATATTTTGGTAGTTGTTGTTGTTGTTCTTCAAATATTTGACTTTGTACGGTGTTCGATATTAAATGTTCGCCTGGCCTTTATCCTTTTTTCCGTTCTCATATTCTATCAGTTCCATTTTTCATAATCCGTCACGATTTCGCGGCATTTGTTTTTCGAACAAAGACAGTAAAAGCGATTTTTGGATCTTAATTCCACCTGTTCATTGCTTCAAAAGCCAGCTTATCTAACCTACCAGAGTATTGTGTTTCTTATTATAACACAGGGCAGTTGATATGACCCTATCGCTGAAAGATGAATAAGACGATACCATCCATAATTTGCACAATTTTCACCATAGCTTCTCTGAGATATAATATTAAATTAACTAAGTACAGTTGTGATTAATAATTTAATATTAACTAATTATAATGGTTGTCAGTTGTTTGCCCCAAAATATTATAAATTTAAATATTTAAAAGACCTCTAAGCTATTCCAAGTCAATATTATTATTAATTTAGCCAGAGAATAAATTCCAACAGTAAAAGTCTTAAAGCAGTAGCGCATCTAAGGCCATCGGCTTTATTAAATACTCAGCCGCACTTAAGATTTGAACCAACGGCCGTTGAGTTGTTAGTCGAGTTCCTCGATCTACTCGGCCACTCAGGCGGATTCAAGCAATTAAAACCTAAAAAAACTTTTAAGAATCGGAATCACGGACCCAATATTGAATATCCAAAGATAACAATTTGAAGTGGGTAAGTCTTCAGATTACCCAGTAAGAGGTATTATTACTTACTCTTTCTCTCGAAAATGCCACGAAACACATTCATAGACCTAACAATAATCATACGTGAACCTTGAGTTGTGTACCTATAAGTAACTTCAAGAACACACATAGTGCTGCATGTATGAAATATTTAACCGCACAACAAGAACTTTTTGGCTTGACAGATATAATTGCTTTTAGTTTCTTATTCTCTTATGGTGTGTTGAACGTGCTCACAAATGATTTCAACACATCCGCCAATTACCTTTAAGATATGTGTACTTGTCCTACTAATATTTGTATTACGATTTGCTTCAAGAGATATTGCTATTCCATAATCTGCATTACCTAAATCAAAATAAAATAGGATTCTGATAATGCGTATATAACGAAGAAGATCTTAAATTGGCTCTCTATTGAACTGTAAATCATACCATTTGCCGTATATAGGCCCGAAAATGTGACTAAACATCGGAATAGAATTTGTATGCCTTTCATCCATAAATACCCCAAAATATTTAAATAATAATTAGAATCTAATCTTAATAAAACAAAGAGGATTCCGTAGATATTCCGTTCCTCTGTCACGTTGCCACTATTGTTGCAGTGTTTTTCTTTTTTTTAGATGAGTATTTTTATCTTCACACGCTCAAAATTCGATATACATAATATCGCTTACGATATTCAATGTTTCCATTAGAGAATTGTCGCAGTGGCTACACTGTTTTTAACAATAAAGCATTTTGCAAAATTTGCTTATAGAATTTTTCATAATTTTTTTTTTTTAACTTAAGGGTGAACATATATTAAGATAAAATGCCAGCAATTGAAGCAGAAATTTTGGCCGAGAAAGCAGATAACCTATGTCAACAATCGAAGCCTATGTCGGGTCCGATTATCGGCATTATCTATCCTCCACCTGAGGTTAGAAGTATCCTTTTTGTAAAAATCGAAAAATATATGCTGTTAGCAAACGCAATTACCAACCTGATATGATTGCAAAGGTTTTCCTATTCAGTTTTAAAAATTTATTAAAAAATAGATATTGTTGATAAAACCGCAAGTTTTGTAGCTAGGAATGGGCCTGAATTTGAAGCGCGTATTCGTCAAAATGAGTTGGGAAACCCGAAATTTAATTTTCTAAGCTCTGGTGATCCCTATCATGCATATTATCGACACAAAGTAAATGAATTTCGGGAAGGAAAAGGTAAAAATTTATTTGTCATGTTTTGATTAAAATTATTATCGTTAATCAATTGCGTAGATGCAAGCGCAGCCAGCGCGGTGACGGGCATTAAGCAGCTCTCGGTGACAAGTGCAGCGCAGCAGAAACAACAGGAGCTGCTTAAGCAGGTTGCAGAACTTCAGTTTGTACCTAAGGAGCCGCCACAAGAGTTTGAATTTATTGCCGATCCTCCATCAATTTCCGCTTTGGATTTGTAAAGTTTAAAATTGGACATGTATTCGGGGATTTTTAAACTATTGTTCTCACATTTCTTTGGCAGGGATATCGTTAAATTAACAGCCCAGTTTGTGGCCCGTAACGGTCGTCAATTTTTGACGAATTTGATGAATCGTGAACAACGTAATTTTCAATTTGATTTCTTACGTCCCCAGCATTCCCTTTTCCAATATTTTACTAAGCTTTTGGAGCAGTATACCAAAATTTTAATACCGCCAAAAGACCTTTTAGCCAAGCTAAGGTCAGAAAGTGCTCCTGGCCGGAGTAGCGTGAATATAGTATTAGAACAAGTTAAATATCGCGCCAATTGGCAGAAACATCAAGATGCCCAAAGACGCCGGGAAGAGGAGAAAATTGAGAAAGAACGAGGTATATGAAACAGTCCGATTGTTTTACGTCTAACCCTATGCTTATTAATCCATTGCAGTGGCTTATGCTCAAATTGATTGGCACGATTTCGTAGTGGTTGAAACTGTAGATTATCAACCATTTGAAACGGGTAACTTTCCACCGCCCACCACGCCTGAAGAGGTTGGAGCTCGTGTTTTAATGGAAGAACGCTTACAAGAAGAGGACGGTGATATTGAAATGCAAATCGAATCGGACGACGAGGATAGTCAAGATGCCGTTGTATCGAACGCTGTGAAATTATCTCAGATGGAAAATCGTGTTGGTATTCATATTAGGGATGGCGGATATCAACAAGCCAACAAGAAAGACAACATACAAGTACAGGATATGGATGAAGCATCCAGTGATGAGGAGACAGTAACTACCACAGGAAAAGTTCAACCGCCTGTAGCGCCACTTATGCCACCAACACATGATAAAGTTGTTGTCAAGAAATATGATCCTAAAGCGACTCAGATAAAACCGGTCAAGCCTGCTACCACGGATGAATATCTTATTTCACCTATTACAGGTGAAAAAATTCCCGCATCGAAAGTAGCTGAGCATATGCGCATTGGTCTATTGGACCCACGTTGGGTCGAACAACGCGACAAACATACGGTCGAAAAGATAAATCAAGAAACAGTGTACGCTGCAGGAACAGCTATTGAGGCCAGCCTTAAACAATTGGCCGAGCGTCGTACAGATATTTTCGGTGTTGGCGATGAAGAAACAGTAATTGGTAAAAAGCTAGGTGAAGAAGAAACTAAAAAAGACGACCGCGTTACGTGGGATGGTCACACTTCCAGTGTCGAAGCGGCAACCAGAGCAGCGCGAGCCAATATTTCAGTAGTAGATCAAATACACCAGATTCATAAGGTCAACCAGAATACCGATTTAAAAAGCGTGGAGCAATTTAAAAGAATTACTCTACAATTTTTTAAAATGCATAAAAGAACGAATTATAAAGAAAGATATTGTTTTTGCATGTCCGCCACAAGGGTTGTAGGAATATACAAAATCGCTTATTATTTTCTGAAAATTTCCCTTCGCGGTATACATTTCTAACAAAGCATAGCCCACACTAATTTAGTGACGTTCTCTTTTTTTAGTTTTTGCTACTGAACTAGTGCCCAAGTTGCCCAAGTTTGAAAAACCCCTATGAAATTGTAAAAACCTGACCTTTTTAGATATTCGTGTACAAGCGAATATGCACGCAAGTAGACGGGATGCACAGGACCGCTTACTAAAAGATACAAATAACTTGAACAAGACGCAGGATAAAAAAAACTGTCCGCCTTAAACTCGCACAAATACAGAGTCAATAAACATTTTTATGTACATACACATATGCGAATTTTTTATAATTTATTCTTTCATGCACATTAAGATTTTATTTTTATGTACTTTCTTGACTTTTTTAAACTAAGAAACACGTTTTCAATTATATTGATAATATAGGAAAAAGGATTGCTGCCGGATGAGGAAAAAGAAAAAATTGGCCCAAAACCAATAATTAATAAACCTGCAGCAGTGAATAGTTCACAGTTGCCTCACCAAACTACACCTAAGCCACCACCTCATCCGGTGCATAATCAATCATTACCGCAGCATCATCATCACGGCGTGCCCCAACAGCAGCAACAATCGCATGCTTTGCCTCAAGCTCCACCAGTTATGATGATGCCCATGCGTCCGCCTCCAATGATACGTAAGAAATTTTTCTAAGTAATTTCAAATAGAAGCTAACTAACAAATATGGTGAACTTCGTACTCCTCAGCACCTCCATTCCCTGTAACTGGTTATATGGGGCAGATGCCAGCGGCTGGACCGCCGCAAATTACGCCGGCTCCACCAGTTCTGGATCAGGGTATTGTAGACGAAGAACCACCAAACAAGAAAATTAGATCAGAAGATAATCTCGTACCCGAAGCTGATTTCATTGCTATGCACAAGGTATAATATACTTTGAAGCTTCTGCACAATCTTTGCAAAAGTGACTTATATTTTTTTATAACAATTTTAGAGTCCCGTCACAATTCAAGTGCAGATTCCTAATGTTATTGACAAATCTGAATGGAAACTTAACGGTCAAACAATAGCTGTGTCCTTGGCTTTGACAGATGCAATTTCACTTCTTAAAAGCAAAATACAAGAGGAAACCGGTATGCCACCCGCTAAGCAAAAAATTTCCTATGAGGTATCATTGACTGCAATTATATTATAAATTGACCAAGTGGTAAATACATATATTTCAATAGGGCATGTTCTTCAAGGACAGTAACACTATGGCGTATTATAATTTGCTGAGTGGAGCAACTGTGCATTTACAAATAAAAGAACGTGGCGGTCGTAAAAAATAAAGAATTATCATTAAATAAATAAAAAAATCCGTGAAAAAATATGTTAAAATGGAATTCGATGAAAAATTATGTTAAATGCGGTAGTCTCATAATAAAACTCTCACATTTTCATACTGGTGTGTTCTATAGTATAATCGGCAGATTGCACGTTTCTTAAAATAATTTTATCAAAAGCAATATCAAATAGGAATGCGATGTGGCGATATTAATGTGTTGGAAATCCATGATTTTTGCACATTAACGCTCTTAATTGGTCTTTTGTAAGATCTGGATCATTGACCGAATCCGCTCCAACATCGGTGTATATATGCCATTACTATCTTTACTCGGTTGGCACATGTGCGTCAAATGATTCAGAATATATGGTGAAATGAAATCACTATAACTTAAAGGAGAATCATCTGTACAACGCTCTAAGTAATGCATGTATCCAGCACGGTATGCCGCGCCCAGTAATGCAGCTTCGCTGCTGGTTTTCTATACAATAATTTGTAAGTATTGTCAAATAAGAATTTAATTTAAAATGTAATGAAACAGATCAAACCTGCACATAAACGGGGGAATTAAAAACATCAGCTATCACTTGAAGAATAGATTTATTTATCGATGCTCCACCAGTGGCAATAATTTTCGTATTTGCGCCAAAATTGAAGCCCATGTCAATAGCAACGCTTAGGCGGTGCAGCATTTGGCCTTCAATTAAAGCTCGAATTTCTGTTTGAGGAGACGAGAACCTAAAATGAAAAGATCAAAAGTTAGAAACAATGGTTGATGAGAAATTGCCAAGTCGTTCTAACTTCAGAACGCCGGTGGAGGCAGTCGTTGATACTGCATTGATATCCTTATTCCAGCGTAATGTCCCCTTCACAGACGGTACGATTTCTTTAGTAGGAAAATGCAAAGCCATGTTACCATAATTGCCTCGAGGTGTTGAATCAAGCAATTCATTAAAAGTATTCCAATTGTCTGTAGCTTCTGAACGTTTCATGCCATCTCTCACCAAGGAACTATTCCGAAAGCTCCAAGAAAGAAAATCATCGTCAAATTATTTTTAACGAAAGCATTATATTTCAGATGACAGTAAAAAGATCCCTAATTGATATAATCTTGTCTATAAATTTGTCGTTGATTTCCCTTTTACGCAAGGTATTAAAAAAATTTTTTTGTTATTCCGACTTTCAAATTTGTTTCACTCTAATTTTGCCTTTCGCCATTTAACATGATTACAGAGGAAAGTAATAATAGATTTATTTAATTGATAGGAAACAGGTAGACCGATTTTGTGGGAGCATCGAGTCAATAGATTATTTTTCATGTGCTTATTGCTTACCATAAAAGGCCCATGAACAGATTATCTTCGGTTGGGTGACATAGAACGTGGGCATCTTCAAGTAAAGCCTGCTGTTTCAACGTCATCATAACTGTATCACTTGTGCCCAATGAAACGGCAAGCCAGTTTTTTTCCACCAACATACCAGATAAAGAAGAAGGATTATCTCCCGTAAAAGCACAGACTTTGCAATTGGCTGGCATGCCAAACCTTTGAACGAAAAAGTCACAGATAGTGCCAATGAATGAATTTGTCTTAACTGGAGCAGATAAACGTTCCTCTAAATCAGGCGCACATGCATTAAGGCAAGCTTTGGACCATGTTTTCGCTTTAATATCAAATAAATTCATACCCGATCCATCTGCATAGTCAATTGGTGCCACATCCCCGATAAATATTGACGCCAAGAAACTGCTTATTAATGATATGCGTTGTGTGTCCTCATACGCACGCGCATGTTGTTGATATACTTTACGTATTTGAGGTCCTGTAAAACGTGGGAAACATCTACTACCTGTTATGCGAACCATTTCCTTACTTCCCCCTATAGCCATTTCCATTTCAGAACACTGATTTTGAGTTGATCCATCCATCCAAATTGGAGTTTTATTCAGCACAAAAGCTGTATCATCAATTTGCATATGCAGAAATTTACCAGGATCAAGAGTTCTTAATGCTTCCACACCTTGGCGAGACCAGTACACGGAACCGTGTTGTTGAGCTGAACCACCTATAGCTCCAACGGAGCTTAGATCACCCCCATTCACTACTAAACGATCCATGATAATATCAACTGCCTTAATCCACATGACAGGCTGCCCAAAAAATCTATTGAAAATAAATCAAACTTGATACACATGCGTTTGCTTACACCTTTAATCGCTAATGAATTCATTTGCCAATTCAATTAATTTTTCAAATAATCCGTCTATACATCTTTCTATACCATATTTGGTTTCGATTTCTGATAGACTCACTAACAGCTGCTCCATTTATGAAATGTGAATACTTTTTTTGAATTGAGCAAGGACATTTCCACTTAAACATTGTTTCACTGTAAGGACTGCGTGCAGCATTAGAAATTCGTGAAATATCAACAACAGTTCCATGGAGTGGACTACTGATATATCTCAATGTAGATCAAAATGAATAAAACAACGAAGAATCATTAAACCGCACATAAATATAAATTTTTAATAAACGAATTTTCAGACTCTTTAAATTAAAATTCATTGTGCTAAGAGAATGTTGCATTAGTGGCACACATATACTGATGAATGTGCTCAAGAGGCTATTCTAGTGTTACATAGTTTTGTGATGTACTTATTGCTGACATAAAGGATTTGAAGTTGGCAAATGGTAATTAAGTTATCTTAAGAATACTTTACTCGTTCTTCTTAGGGCCAGTTATAGCACCGTTTACAGTACGAAATTCTGGTAGATCGGAATCAAACTGTACTTCGGCCGTTGCGACTACTACATCTAGGCAAGAATTTAATTGTACGGCTTTAAGCTATAGACAAGAAAAAGACAAGAAAATGTGTTACAATATTCCTTTAAATGAGATTTTCATGAATTTGCTGCTTGTAAACATTACTTTGAAAGTCTACAGAGATTCATAAACTTAAGTACACCCCTAAACTAATGCAAATTAAAGCAAGAAAACACACCCATTAAAATTAAACGAATTTTTTTTTTTTGTCCTGAATAGATTAAATTTTTTTTTTTTTTTTTTTTATTTGGAATGATAAAAAAATTGTAATTATACTTTAGGAAAACATAAACTTTAAATGTACTGAAATACGCGGCCTTTTGAAAATACTTTAAATAAAATGTGGAATATGAATAGAAGTTTTTTGACATAAAAGAAATCTAGGGTCCATTGCATACTTCGCTATATTAGTTATGTGATTGCCTTTCGGACCTACTCTCTCTCTATAAAAGGAATTTCTCCAAATCTCGACAGAAATGAGAAATAGTATGAGGGTAAGATGCATACTTTTGCGGAATTTAAATCGCATCGCTATACAGAATTTTAGTTTACAAAAATTATATAAGAAATTTAAGTCAATTTTTATTCACCTAAATATTATTTCTCATAAAACAACAAGAAGCAAAGCTCTTCAATCCATATAATTAATTTAAATGACGAATGATACTATATATCTTGTTGCCAATTTCTTCATGATACTATATCTATCGGCTCTATAGCCAAATATATATAATGTAATATTAATATATATATATATACATATATATATATACACAATAATATAACACGTATAGCAAAACATATATAGCAAAATTTGATTGGCTTTAGTCTTAGGATTTGTTTTTTGGCTGTTATTATTATTAGAAGTTATTTTGACAAAAGGAATAAATTCTAGGACGAAAAATAGGATGAACACTAGCAACTAAGGCAATGAGCTCAATTATGATAATACATGTAGAAATCTTACCTTTTGTGTGCTCAGATCAAAGCCTAAATATGTGCACTTTTCCGGTTGTGCGCTGAAATTTGCTTTCATGATGGTAAACTTTTTTAATAAATAATGTGCAGAGTTTAAATATTAAATAATTAAGCGATTCTCTGGACGGTTAATCAAACCATTATATCACTTAGAACTATCCGTAATCCTGCTAACGGTAAATTATCACCTTCTTTGAAGAATGGCAACTAACTTTCTTTTGAGATACAGTGAGATAAGTAAACGAACCGTTACTAAACGAACCGAAAGCACATATGTTTTTACAACTGCTCATAAAAATATATAATTGCCACATGTGCCAAATGAATTTCTTCGTAAGAAAAGAAATCCTAATACTCTACGCAGGATTAAAAAGTCGCCGACGTACAGATGGGCTTGAATGTGAATCACTGATTTTATAGTCTGCGTAATTGGAATTAAAAAACGTTTGAAGCTGCACGAGTACATCAAGTAAAGTAAAGTAGTTTTACAAAAATGCATCTTTCCCAAAAAACCAATTCAGTGAAAAGATAAACAAACATGTAAAATGATAGATATTATATACATATTATTATACACATTGTTAATCTAAGAAAGCTTTCTTTTTTTCTTCTTTGTTGAGACCAATACTCAAAAAAGTACTGCGGAATTGTTGAAGGAAACAATTTTTCCTTTGTTCGCAATTCAAAAAGTAGACTCGTGTCACCTTTGCCAGCCTTGATATCATTTGTTTCTATAGTTGTAAGCTGCATATATGCAAAATTCGTGGGAGAAATGAACAATAAATATTTATTAATAAGTTATAATTTTTTTTCGGTACTACAAGTTTCGTTTCAAATGTAAAAATTATATTTCACTTAATTCTGTTAACAAATGGAGCTTCATTGTGTCAAACAGCTATATAGAAAGTATAGGGATCAACATTTTTAAAAAAGAAAAAGAAAAACTGAAAACGATCTTAATCTCTTTTTACTATATTTGTAAGTAATTATTAATTTTTATTTGGCAATGCCAGAGTATACGGGATATGTATTATATGGCAACGTACTTTTATATTCGGTCATCATCGTTTTTAGCGAATGCATACAAAGGCGGCCATATGTGATGTATGTGTGACAAGTCATGACAATTTCGCATGAAATAAACAATTTTTATCGATGGAAGACTCATTTTTTGGATTTGATACATCTTTACCGGTAAGTTAATACATCAACGATCTATAAATAATGTGGCAAAATTCAAATAGAATAAGAAAATCGACGTTAGAAACAGAAAGCTTAGGGACGAAAAGACGTTTGTTTGCTACGACGACTTTTCGCGATGGCCGATTATTTACAAGATAAACTACAGTGTGCACAATTGTTTCGTATGAAACTTGTGTTTTGTTTTCCATTTGCAGCTTGACGACGATGGAGGAGGAGGGCAGATCGCAGAACCATCGGAGGAGGAATACGATGCTCTAAATGATGAAACTTTCGGTTGCGCTACCAATGGGGACTGGGAAGAGGCGCATGAAAATCTAGTTCGATTGGACGAGTGTATTGATGTTGGAAAAGATCAAGATACTTTCAGCTCCAAAAATAATCAATCGATCGATCATGTTTCAACAGAACAAACAATAAAGTCCTACAAAAAACCTCGTCAACAGCCTGCAAATTTTATGACTGATTCCGACTTGGAATTAAACTTGGCTAGCATGAAATTAGACGACGTCGATATTAGTTATGAAAATGATGAAATTGTTGGTGGTTGTGTCGTGGAAACAGTCAAAATGGATCCAAGTGTATGGTCGGCGCAGCCAGTGCCAAAAAATGAGCGAATAGTTTGTTCATCGCTGGACCAAATAAACAGTAATGATTCGCGAAATGGTATGCCTGTTAATCCGACGGATTTTCTGCGTCAGCATTTTCCCAGTCCATTTCAACAACAATTTTTACAATTTCCGTTGCAAGGGCAACAACCTCAAAATGACAGCGTGGTTCAGGTTGATGAAATCCACAACTCGACAAAACCTCCCAAAATCTGCACATTGGAAGACATAGAACGAAATTTAATCATGCAACAAGCCGTTCTAAAACGTCAGCATCAATCCTACAACTCCCATGACATTGTTGTTAAACAAAAAAATTCCGTGGACGATACAGTAAGCAATACTTTAAAAGCTCATCATCAACATCTTCATCAACATCATCAACAAACACCTCCGCAAGCACAATACACATCGAAAGTGCCACCGATGCTTCCCCCCCAGCAGCAGCTAAAAGGTGAGATCACAGAAATCCAAGTTCTTTCTGTGCTTAATAAATTGTATGGGAAAAATATGTGTGATATGAACATCTAAAAAAATATGTTGAATTTGTACATAACGTATCTTCAGTTCGAACATAGATAACACTACCCCGTTTAATATTTATTAAAATTATGTGTATGTTTGGAAACGTGTAGGCATACGGCATCAATTACATCAAATTTGCTATTTTCCTAAGTTTCACTTAAGTACCGTAAGCACAATTTAAGTGCGTTTTAGAATGTTCATGCCAAAGATTCCATGTTTGTACACGTTTCTCATGTTTTCGCTAACTGTTCAAAATATTTAAAATTGAAAAAAAAAAATGAGAATAAAAAAATCTGCTTTACCTAAATCTCAAATTTTTTCACATTTCGGCAGGCCCACCAGGTTTAGGCCAACCTGTTCAACAGCCGCCCCCAAGGCCTTCTAGTAATTTTAATAATTTGGGACAACATCCCATAAACAACCTACTGCAGCAACAACAGCCACCACATCATCATCAGCAAGCAGTAGCACATTTGAACGCATCTGGAAATCGCTTGCCGCCGGGATTGCCCATATATCCACCCGGAGTAGGGCCGCATCTATCCCAACCAGGGCATACACAGTTGCCGCCACATCCATTACTCAATCAGCATGGACTACCCAATGCTTTCCCGCATCCCCAACAACGTTCATTACCAAACCCCCATTTACCAATAGCCCTTAATAATTTCGCAATGCATCCGAATTTTAATGCAATTCGCGCCGCTGGCATTCATCCTGCTTCCCTTTTGACATCACAACAACAAACCGGGCGTATAATGGGTCATCCACCACCGAATCCCATACCGATGTTAAATAACCAAGCCGGACAAACAAATTCAAATTATAATATGTTTAATATGCGTCTTGTGCAAGAGATTCAACAAAATCATCCTTTACTGCAGAATGCGGCACGTCAGGTTCAGCAACATCAATTTCAACAACAAAACCACCTAGTTGGGAACAACAGTGGGAGCCATCAGCATGCACTGGCACGCGGTAATGTCGGTGGCAATCAGAAATTAAATCATAATACACGGCGTGAGGGTATGACTGCTGGTGCTAATGGCAACTTGCCACCGGAGGAATTTGACGAATACGCCAATCTTATGAGTACTCGCGATAAACATTGGCTTATAGGTATACAGTTATCTCAACTCAACCCAGATACCCCTTACATTGATGATTATTATTATACGGTGTATAAGGAACGAAAAACGGCTCAGAATGGCAACGTCAGACTTAGTCAGGCACATAAGGACAATCAATTAAATCATCCGTTAACGCAACCTAAAGGCCATGCTCAGCTCATATTAGTTCAGTTGGGTAACAAAAATGGTACACGTAATGGTCAACATCAGGAACGTCGCAACTCGGACAATCATCATGGCATTAATTCTAACAATGTTCAGGAGTTAAAATTGCCAACGTATCTCTTTACTCCGCTTAAGTTTGAGAATTCATTGGGCAAATTGCAATATGGTAGTGTTACAGCTCCTCGAAAAATAATCGATGCAGAAGTTATGAGTAGCGAAACATCCGCCGCTGCGACCGTAACCACCTTAACAACAACGGGTAATGAACAAAATTCGTCGTATGCTCAAACTCAACTTAAGGCAATTATTGGTGGGCAAACTAAAGTCGACTCCCCTGGCTTGATACAAACGTCTTTATCCGGTGGTGATCTAACAACGGTAAATTCTCAATGCAAATCTCGGTATATTTTGCTCCACATTGAGAGTTTATATCGCGTTCTACTAAAATTGGATGATCTTAATAATCCCAACGCAATTGCAACCATACTGACGAAGAAAAAGAAAGAAAGTGAACGAATTGCAGCTCTGGAGCAATTAGAAGCAGCTAATAAAACCGAAGAAGAACGAAGTGCTGATGCTTCTAGTAATCCATCACTAAAATGTAAATTTAACTACGAAATCGAAACGAAAGAAGCTTTAGTAGAGAAATTACTCAGTGGTCTGCAGCATGATAAAATAGTTGCCATAATGAATATACGCAAAGGAAAGGTATACATGCATACATACATACAACTATTCTTATATAAAGAACTTGAAATGTTTAATTCAATTTGTGATTAAAGGTCCTGATAAGACGCATAATGCCGTACATTGAAAACGACGACCAGCGTTGGAATGTATGGATTGGTGTCTTCAACTCTCTTCAAAACGTTTTCAAAAAAGATCGTGACGATACAGATGGCATTTTGTATTCATTGTATCCTGAATTCAAAAAGCAAATTAAATTAGCAAACTTTGAGATTATCGTTCGAGTCTCATCAGCTATCACGCTAAACGATAAAAAATCAAATGGTATCTTCTGTAGCAAGGTAAGTGAAAATCATACCTTTAGCTAGACCTGAACTTGCCACCAGAATTTGAGGATCATTCATATGATTTTTCAATTTGTGATTTTTTCGAGCATCTGCAACATAAAATTGATCAAGCGAAAATGTTATGCCATTTTTCATCAAAATTCAAACTCATTTTTCTTACATGTTAAGTGCGCTTTGGTAAATCAATTGTATACCATTTTGATCGATAAAATTTTACAATTTCTCACTTAAAACCAATTATGGGATATTGAAACCAGCTTTGCGCCCATAGTAAAGCTTTTCAGAGTACAAAAAGAACACTGATTGGGCGTGGCAACATCCGGGTTATGTGGTGGATGAATCAGCATATCCCAGCCAAGTTGCCTCAGTTTTTCAGTATGGGCATAGAAAAGAGATGGATTCAGCGCGACTGACGCTTATCAGTTTTGGACGTTTTACCTCGATGGCGTACTTAATCACATTACTTGTTGACATTTAAGACTAAAATCGATCAGGTGGTTAGGTTGGATAAGATTTGGTGGCAATTGCAAAAAAAGCAAAGAACGACTTTACCTAAATCCAGGCCTTGACGTTGTTACCATTTTGACTTCCTGTATAACGATATTCTTGGTACATTATTACAATATGTGAGCCATTTCGTTGTTGCATCCATTCTCGGATGGCAATTCGGTCCACTACATTTCTCACTATTAAACCATGTGGTACCTAAATATCGAGCTTGCTTTTGTATTTAAGCTAATTCAAACGATTAAAATAGTGTTCTGATGAACGTTTGTGTGACCAGAGAGTAGCGTGCTTTTAATATTGAAATTTTAAAAAAAAGGAAATGATTTGTGTCCCGTTGATTCTTACAAAGTACATTCACCGCAAATTTCACAAATATTTTTAAAATTCAGTGAATTCAGCCTCATCGCCTGAGCCGACTTGATATCGTAAAATGTAAAGAATTTTTTGTAGAGTTTTTACGCTTTTTTCAAAACGCAATTACTTTCGCTTAAACTAATGAGCGTCACAAGTTATCAAAGGACTATTATCTTTCACATTCAATATAATAAAGCTGTTGGGGAAAACACCACGAACTTTTCTCTTGACTTTATGATTCGCAATATAATGGTGTCAATAATTGAGAACTAAAGCTCTCAAGAACTGAGCAATAGAATGTAAAGCAACAATTTAATAAGAAAATTTGAATATCTTTGGTAAATCGGAACATAATCGCTGCAAAGAAACTCTTTGAAAAATACAGGTGGAGATAAAGTTGCGATTCACTAAGAAAGGTGAACTTACGCAAGTCCATGTTGAAACTGATTGGCGTTTGTTTAAAACACCCCCTAAAACTTTTGGAAGACGGACTACGCGCTTCAAGTCATATCATAAAACCAATTTTTTTGACCCATCATTGAAGGACGGATGTTTAACAGATTTGTTTTCCTACTTCTAATGCTTCAGAATGTTAAATACTTCATAATGTATGCTAAATGTAATATCCGAAGTCGCATTTATCTGTCCGTTTGTCTGTCCATCTGTCTTAAAAATTGAAATAAGACGGTGAAACTTGCCCTGCTCAAGTTCTTAGTTCATCCCAAGTTCTAAAACTAAGAGACTTTAAAACTAAAACTGAAAAATTGAAGAAACTAGATTTGAAACTTAGGTAATGTCTATGTCAACTTCCTAACACTACGTAAAAGAAAAAATTGATGCGCTATCTTCTAACAAAATGCTTGCAGTTGAAGGTCGCCCCATGTCAAAGTTTCGCACAAAGACGAGTATAACACTCTTGTTTGTATCATTTGAGTTTGATTTTTTTTGGAATTTTTCTAAACTTTAGGAAACAAAGTTATTTCTTTTGGCGATCGCCGATCTGCGCCGCCTTTCAGCATTTTTTTGAACTAAAGTCGAATATAATTTAAATAACTGTGTTGTGCAATTTTGAACTTTATTTAATAATTGATTTAAATCAAAATTTCTATCATTATAATCGCCATTTGGTTCGTAGTTTTTTGATATTTTCCCTTCTTTTCTAAATGGGAGTAGCGAGTGCACAATTCTCATACACACAAGTGATTCTCAAAATGTTCTTAACTAGAAGGGAACATTGAAAATTGAAATCATCCTGTGTTACATCATCGAAGAATTCGCGGAAAGTGCAAATATATGCGAAAGTACCTTGTACGGCATTTTAATCATTTTTCTATGATGAGAAAAACGATGGCTAGATTTATTAAAATAATATATCATGAGAAATATATGTATTTATGTATGATTAATTACACACGTATATAGATTAAATCCAAAATTCATTTGCGATAGCAGCACATATATTAAACTAAGTAAAGTTTGATAGGATAAGCAATAACGGAGAGATGTCTGTCGATTCGACTAACTTTTGCTCATTACACGGAAAGTTTGATAAAAGGAATACATGAAAATATGGGAAAACATTGGTCTTTTTTATCCATTTAAGGAAAAAGTGATTTTTTTTTGATAACGGAAGCCGGATAACGGATTCTTTGACCGTTTCATTCGATTTTTTGAATTTGACCTATTCGACAGCGTCAAGAGAATAAGTTAAATCAAGATTTTCTTCTCAAAATAGAAAAGGTTGTGATCGGGATTTCACTTGATTCTTGGACATAATTTAAAGATTTTCGTGATTCACATTCCAATATATATATATATAGGCACTGTATATACATATCTGTATGTACATAAATACATAGAAAAAAGGATTTTGTTCTTTTATTCTTGGAAATCTATAAACGCTCTCTAGTTCTTGTGATAATGTAAGTGCATAACGTATGTTTGAAAGTCTCAAAAAAAGAGATGAATAGTATTCCGTGAAGTGCATGCGAATGGCCTTGAATGGTAAAAACAAGCACAAAGAACTCAAAACAAAAATATACTTCAATCAAGTCCTAATAATGTGGAAGGCAGCGAAGAATTTCTCTCTTTCCCGGTCGCACAAAAACACCACCATTCAACGTTTTCTAGCCCTTGTATGTATGTATGTGTATAACTTATGTCTGAAAGTCTCAAAAAAAAAGAAAAGATTAATAATATTACGTGAAATGCATGCGAATGGCATTGAATGGGAAAAACAAGCACGAAGAACTCAAAGCTTTAATCAAGTCCTAATAATGTGGAAGGCAGGCAGGAACTACTCTCTTTTCCGGTCGCACAGAAAACCCATCATTGGCTGAGCTAAAATCAAGTAAAATCTATCATCAACGTTCCTTATAGATTTTCTTTGCACCTTGAAGTGTTCATCACATTTTCCATTTCATCAATTGTAGACAACTAACTAGAGCGAAATGTAGATTTTATTGAAAAACAATGCAAGAGAGAAGAGGAAGGAAAAGATTTCAAACAAAGACTGTGCAAACAACTTTTCTGGTGGAAGTGAAGAATTCTAATGAAAATAAATAAAATTAGCTTTGCTAGCGTATATGCATTTTCAGGCTGTTTAAAAATTATTTAAATGTGATTTGTGTGGTCTTTCTTCTTCAGTTTGGTATATCATCGCTCGTTTGCCTGATACTGCAAGCCGAGAATATTTACGTGCAAAATGACGATGTTAGTCTTACTAATGAACATAAAGAGAGCTGGCGTCATTTTCTGGACCAAGTAGCTTCTTCGCTAAATCGCACAATACAAAGTCAAACGATTTGTGCTGCAATTGAATCCGATTCTATACAACCCGTAATGGATCACTTTGCACGTTTCAAAGATCTGAAGTTAGATTCATTATTGGCTCTTATCACCGAAGCTAAACAACAAATTAACTAAACCAAAAAAACAAAAAGAGAAGGAAACAAAAAAACGACATATTTTGCGGTAATAAACAAAAAAAAAAAAAAAGAAGAAAATTTATAATGAATTTCACAACGTTAACAAACAATGAGATTTTCCACAAAAAGGACGAAGAACGCAAAAGGAAATTAAACTAAAAGTCGTAGAATGAATTCTGACACAACAACAATGGTGAACAATTTTATTGGATTACTTCCAACTTTTTTTCAATTTGTGTTAATAGAAATTTTGCACACAGTTATTTATTTCGAAAAGTGATGCGTTTTCTCTGAATAATCATTAAACAGAAACAATAATTGAAAAAAAAGAAAGGAAAAGGAAAATGAAAATGAAAAAAAAAAAAAAAAAAAAAAAAACGATTATAAAAAAATTAATAATTGTATCCATTATACATACACATGCATATATACTTAAATGTATGTATTTATTTACTCAAACACACTTATACATATGAGAAAATGATGGTTAAAAAAAAAAAAAGAAAGAGTAGGTCCCAAGATTTCCTTAGCTTTGCTATGAAAATAATTTAAACGTATGATATGATTTTTTAAAATAGTGTTTAAAGAATTTTGTAAGCTAACGCAACTACAAATAACTGTAATAAGTATGTATGTGTAGTTTATATTTTAGCTTTTTTTTTTTTTCTTTTAAAATGTAAGTTTTATATTAATTAATATACGCAAATTATTCACTTTTTTTTTTTTTTTTTGTTTCTTGCGGAAGTTTTTTGTAAATAATTGTAAACGGGAAACTATAGTAAATAGGATCTAAATTATGCCCAATCCAAAAGAGGGAAAAGTAACAAAAAAAGAAAAATAACACACAAAACAGGGGTGAAGGCCAGGTCCGTATAATACTGGCTCTGTTTTCTTGAAAGTATATCGTTAGATGAAAACTCTTCCTATTGGCAACTCATTTAAACTCGTGATTTATATATTAACCCATGACCGTTTGATTGCTTACACAAATTGAATATATTCTCGCGATTTTCCCTTTTTTTCACCCCTGTGCGGATTCGGTTCAACTCTTTTTTTTTATTATTGCGTCAAACATAATTAAATGTTAACCATAAGCTGTCGCGTTAGAAAATTATTTACATGCTCCCTTGAAAACGTCAAAATTAATAATGATTAAGAATTTCTGTAAATTTTTTTTTATTTTATTTTTATTTGAATTTTGTTAATATTATTAATGTATTTTTTTATACATCAGAGAACCAAACTCTGAATAATAAATATCACATTAACTTATTTGAAAACATTATTGGAATAGAAATAACAATAACAAAAAAAACAAAAAAAAAAAAACCAAAAAAATTTAAAAAAATTTAAAAAAAGAAGAAGCAGTTTATGGATGAATATATGTTACCGTAAATCCCTATGACTGCGTTATTAAACAAAAGAAAGAAAAAATGAAAAAAAAAACTAATAATTTTTATTTAATATTAAGTTGATTTGTGTATTTAGTAAAATTATACAAATAATATTATATATATATTTTTTCTTTTATAAAAATACGAACAAACTATGTAACAGATTTAATACACATTTTGTACTCACCACCTTGGGAAGACTATTTGAGACACTTAAATAATACCTTCAACATAAAAATATAGGAACAAGATTCTGAATTGAATTAGCCGCCTTCGTCTTTAACTCTTTTGAACTGTCAATCAAACGAGATTCTGTTATATCTTACGAAGTTTTGATCAGCTTGAAGTCTGTCTGTTCGTTTTTGGGTCTCTACACTTATCGTACATACGGAAACGGCTGATAATGCCAAGGGGAAAAAAAAAACAAATTTTCAACAAAGCTGCACCAAAAGATTTTAGAAGAAAGCGGCTTAGAATTTATGCCAATTAATTTAACATATCGACGACTTATAAATTATTTTTAAGGTGTTGGGTAACGAAAATTCGCTATAAGGCGAATGTAATTTTCTCACTTGATTTTTCTGAAAAAAAAAAAAAACATTAAATACAAAATATTGCGTCTAAAAGTATACATTTTTTATTAATACTGCTACGCACTTTTTAGCTTATTCAACTTCTATTTTCTTTTGACGGTTTTTAACAACACATTTTACAATAATAAATTTTAAAACTATACGCATGCAAAAAAAAAAAAAGAAAAAAAAAGAAGAAAATAGGTAACTAATTATGATTATAATTTTTATTATTTTAATTTAATTAATTTAATATAATATTGAGTTTTTATCACGTTTTTGAAAATTATAAATATACTTTTGAAATTATTGTAACAGCGAAATAAGCAAAATATTTAAAAAGAAAAAAAAAAGAAAAGAAAAATAGTAAATACTTTATGTAAATTTGATATAATCATACACATACATATACACACTCAATAACACTAAATGTTATAAAAACGTACTAATAATAAATTGTCAACAATATTTAACTGGAATCAGAAAAAAGAATTATATGCGATTTTAAAATCGCATCATTTTATGCGATTTATGTATATTTAGAAAATAGAAACGTAAATTCGACCATTGCTGCTTAAGCATGATACTGTTTTTTTCGAAACATGCGGACAGAAGAGCTAACATAAGCAAATTAAGGTGCTTGGGAGAAGACAAGAGAATACGTTTCTTTTTATTTATTTATTTTTTTTTTTTGACAGGATCTCTGCATGTTATTATAGCAAAATTTTTGTTTTTTCACATTATGTATAAAAAAAAATTGTAGAAAGAAATGAGTGATGATTAAGTTGTGCAAGTAATCACGGATAATGATGAATTCTTTGGTATGTTTTTTATCATTATTATTATTAAATATTATAGTTGTCGAAATATTGCACAAAACACTAACAACTGAACTGAACAACTAAAAGGAAGCTTAAAAGTAAACAATATAAATATAGGGAAAGTAAAAACGATAACCATAGTCACGCATACTGATGTATAATAATCAAATCCCAAGTTTAATGATTAAAATTGACTTACATAGAACACATGCGGAGTTCGAATCGATATAAAGTATTCAGCTGCAATATTTAAATGCTACGGGGTTCGATAAAAAGGTTGAAGATATTTCAACTTTTTTGTTATTTTACTTGTTCTCAATATTAAAACTACAAGCGTGCATAGTCCAAAAGTCGGACTACCGTAATGTAAATCTATGTTTCGAAAAAAGCAGGCGTCGACCTATATATATATATTCATATATATATATATATATATATATCCCTCCGTTCAAGGCTTAGACTCACTCACAACACAACAATTTAATTTTCGTATTAACACACTCTGTCTGCAAAAAAGGAAAATATAATATGAATGGTGTTTATAATAACATAAATAAAATAACACACAAATCAATTTTCAATTCTACTAAAGTCACGAGATTTTGTTTTAATTTCGTCTTTCCAAAAATGCATTGCTTCCTCATTGTTCTTGGGATATCGAAATTTGGTGATTCGCGAAGATTAATAAAAATTTTACTCTCAAACGCTATTATATGTAAGCGAGTATTTAGAGAAAACTTTACAATATAAATTTTCTCTTCGACTTTACACAAAACTAATATTGAACGCAAAAAACTTTACGCTCCTGTAAAGCACTGTACATTTTTGCTTTTACTCAAAACTTACTGGTATGTTAAATCGTTCCTTCTGCGGTATTTGCTGTTTCCGATGCTACAGCACTGTCCTGTAGTCCCCAATCCTCTATAGTCAGTCTTAAGTCTTCGAGGGTTCCAAGTGTAAAAATTTGAAACCATTTGCGACGGCTTGGAATATCATTCTCATATACTCACTTCCCCTTCGTAAGAGCGATCCTGTTAAAAGCGACGTTATTTATACTAATCAGTAACAATCTGTCTCAGTGACATTTATAAACTTATTTTGTTCCTTCGGCTATCTTCGGCTCAACAAGAGCTCTCTTTCGGTCGCTCGAGTATAAGCTTTAAAAAAAAAAAAATTAAATGAAGGAAATTGTTCAACTCAGATAGATATCTCTTTCTTCTTCTTCTTCTTTTTCTTCTTCTTCTGGGAGTCAGCAAATCAACAACGTGATGATGATGACTTGCTGAATTGAATAAAAAAAGCGGAAAGATTTCATTCGATAGATATATTTTTCAATTATCGATCCAAAAAGGATTGATAAAGAATATAAATAATGAAAACAATAAATATATTCAAGAATTTTTCAAATTTTGATTCATTCATTCATTTTTCAATTTTATTGTACAAAATTTTCTTAAAACTTAACGATAATTTATTTTTTTACACACTGGTTTCATTTAATTTAAATTGTTTTAATTAAAAAAAAAAAAAAAAAAAAAAAAAATATATATCTTTTATTTCTTATACATATTTACATTTAAATATAAATATATATACAATTTAATAAATATGTATACAATAGAGTTTTGGAATTTAGTTTGAATATAGTACAGAAACATTTATATATATATATATATATATATATATATATATATATATATATATACGTCCTTACAAATCGTGTGCATTACAGATGAATCGGCAAACACAGCATATTTTTTACTGCAAAGTGAATTTCCTTTTTATAAATTTCTATATTACGTAGAGATATGAAATGATTTTTAACACCTTTTTTAAGCAGTAATAGCATTATGGTAAGACATAACAATTATGGAATTAAATGATTTTCTTTCATTTATTATTTTGTTTTTTTTAAATATAATCTTACGTACATATAAGCATTAGGAAAAAAAAAAGAAGCAATTATATAACAACAACGTTAATTAATATATCGTCATTATCATCATCATTATCATCATCATCATCATCGTTATCATATAGGGAAGCTATGCTTACCAAATGCAATAATTTACGGTTCTTAAGCAATACAAACTTAACATCAACGAGGCGGGTAGACTGTATCTAACTAAATAACATGTAAGTTAATAAGAGTTATGTTCCACATACCTACAGTTAAATCATTTAAAAAAAAAAAGGGCGGGGTGAGGACGGCAGAACCGTCTGTTGACAAATTCAATAAACCTAAGCTGACGACCTTACACTTACACTTACTGCTTATCAGAATCATCTAACCATTTATTTGCTTTTGTTTTTCTTATGGCGTTTTTTTCTTCTTTTTTTTCTTCTCTAAGGAGTTGAAGAGTAATTCAATTTTGCATTTCTTGCTCAATAACGAAACGCAGTTGAATTCAAGAACAACTTTTCTTTTTATTTTCCATGAAATGATTTGCAAAAAAATTCAATCCGCTAAAGGAGTTGAAAGACCACGTGTAAAAAAAGGCTTTCCCGAGAGTTTAACGTTTCGAATTAAATCAAAATGAATTCATAGATTTCAAGGTAATAAAAAGAAAATTTGGTCGTTTCAACCTAAAACATTACTACGTTTACATCCCTTCTGATCACTTTTGATATAGAAAGTGTAAAAATAAATTAAAAAAAAAAAGAAGAAAGAAATTAGTATATCAAATATCTGTATGCATGTACAGATACGGACTTTAGCTAAAAACACCACATCATCCTAGGATGTTAACCCGATTCTGCCTAACTTCAAACCGTAAATGTTTTTAATTTCTTTAAATTTTTTTTTTTATTTGAAATTGTAAGGAAACGACTTCAGACGTACATTTAATCATTTTATAAGTTAGCGTTGACCAAAATAAAGACCTAAGAGATTGTTCTCATCTTCTTTTTTCAATTTTCTGGAAATTTGCTATTCATTCAGATAAAAAGCTTTGCTCACTTTTGTAAAAATTTTGACGTTTACTTTGGAAATTCATAATCATTAGTTTGAATGTAGTCAATGATTTAATGAATGAACTGAATGCAAAAGTTAAGTTCGCCTTTGGGCGAGTCTTCTATACCCACCACCTGAAAGAAATTTTATCAACTGACCGCTTGGTTTTGAATCATTCGAGCATGATTTCTTCTTTACTGTAAATACTTAAAAAAATTTTTTTTTTTTTCATTTTGACTCTTGGTTTCTTCGAAATGCCGGAAAAATGCTTGTCCCAAGTTCCAATTTTGATTTGAAACGCATATGGCGTCTGTTAATATTTTGAAAACAGATGAAACAACAGAAGTAACCAATTCCAAAATAGATAAGTCTCTTGAAGAGGATATTTTATACCTACATCTCTGGGTCTTTCAAGCGGGACGATGGTGAATATATAGAGTGTAAATAATATTCTGAAACAATTTTTCCTGCGACCGATCTATTACTGCTATTATTATCAATTTCATATCATTGGCCAGATGTGTTTGCGTAATCTGGAAGACTTAATTCTTTTTCTAAAGTACGATTAACGGACCAAGTTGTTCTAAAGTTCTGTTTTTTCTTTTTTTGCGTCTCTCTCTCTATTCTTTTGCTAAAAAGGTAATAAAAGCAAATTTCACTTTTAATAATTTATTAATTAATTCTACACAAGTCTATTGGTAACTGTTAACTGCTGTATTAATTATATGAAATTAGGCATCTGACCAGCAGGAAATCCGGTTTTTTTTTTTTGTTTTTTGCTTTTTGTTTTTTTATGTTGAAAATAACATTTTATAATCGTTTACACGCCACACATTAGATTCTTTGCAAATTGAACTTAAGCACTAATAGGTTTTAAATCACAAGATTCTCATTTAATCATTTAATCGATTGTCAAGAGCCCCTTTGTTTGTAAGCACCTTCCTTCTACACCTATACCGATATGATGGTATTATTAATCATTTTAACAAGCAGTCCTTCAATTTATATTATTGACTTTATTTACTGTGATTCTCTGGGCCCTGGTGACCAATCGTATAAAATTGGACCGTTCTCCAGTAGACTCTTACAAATTTGACTAGTGACGTGCGCAGTCTATTCATCATCGGACAACTATAATCGGTGGTGTCATGAAAATTACTTCTTTCCCATTTGACTAAGCAATTTCCATGGACGCAACAACTACTGCTGCAGAGATTAATTTGATTAGCCTTCAGCGTTTTCTTGTTTACAACCTTATCGGATGTTGTCTTTTTCGTAGCGTGAACAAAATAGAAAATTCCATTCGTTCGCTCGAATTTTAATGTATTCCGGCCAATAAACATTGAAGATGCCTGTCACCGTTGTGGTGTAAATAGAACTTCAAGCCAGCACGGACAACGTGTAATGTCTGGACGCTTGTAAGAGTATCCCCAACCTTTTCCAAAACTGATACGCATACTGAACGTGTCAATGGGTCCAATTTGGACACCAGGAAATTGAGCGGGATATATTAAAGTTTGAGCTCTGAAAATGCATAAAAACAAAACATTAAAGTTATTTTATTAGAAAATACGCTATCTATTAGATAGATAGTCAACTAACTCACCTATATTTGTCAAAGGCTCGTATGCAGTCTCCTGGCTCTACGCGGCAAACGCGAAACCAACTTTCAGTTAGGGTGGGCGAATATAAAAATATTGGCACTGTTGAGCGATTGTATAACCAAACGCCATCTATCTCTCGTTGCAAGGTAATGCCTGAAATTGTTGGATAATAAGCTAATTAGTTTTTTTTTTTTTTTTTTTTTTTTTTTTTTAATTTCGAAGCCATTTATCTTACCTAAACCAATCTTTTGCCTCGTATACTGAACATGCTCGGGAGAGGGCATGTTACGCTTTTCAACCAAATCTTTCAAGCACATACCCGTTTTAGGTTTACCTTCTGCACTATACGGTGTTTCGGAATATATATTAAGAGTTGACCCTTGTGCCGGATAGCGTTCGCCTACCCGCTGTGCCATTTCCCAATAAGCAATTTCACACCAATTTAGTGGACACGTATTATCTGCAAATAGTGTTTTATGGAAATAATGAAAATTGTGTAAAAATGTTTCTCCAAATTCATTCCAATATATGTAAAAGTGATGACAACTTGAATTAAGTAGGAAAGTGAAGAGTGGTTAAACGTAAAGCACTGAAGGAAACTAAATAGGCCTCACAACGCTAAAACACAATTTTTTAGTTAACATGCAATGTTTTTTCACAAGCAAAGCTATTTTCTCCGTTTTTATACTCTATGCCACTTCTATACCACTTCTACCTTTGTGCAAATGTACGTAAAACGAAATGATTCTCAGCTTGTCTGTTCACCTGATATCTGTTCATGTATTTTTGTGTTTAACCTACAAATCACAACTCGTGAGATATTTTCATGAAATTTGGTACTCTGACATGCTCTGATGTGAGGACGAACGGTGTCGAAAATGGTTCGCATCTGTCCGTTATTTCGACCACTCCCTAGGACTTTGCAAAATGGAGTGTTATATGGAGAAAAATTTGCAAATTTTCAAAATTTTTCGACACAACTCGCGGAGTAATATCACTTCGACACTTCAAATTTGGCACGAAGTGTTTCGTACGGTTGGCGCAATTTTGCCCATCCCTGCTCATGCAGCCGTTCCTAAGAAAACTGAGCCTTTATATGGCAAAAAGAAGCAGTTCCCAATATTTCATGTTGAAAACTGACATAGAAATCAACCTTAACGAATTTGGGCTACGTAGTCCTGTTTCTTGATACCACTGCCTAAATGATGATAAAAATTTTTTCATGACAGTAATTTGACATAAAAATTAAGTGTATCAATACTGAACCATATGGGTCCACAGCATGTACATTTTCTTAGGAATAGTAAAGCCTTCAGAAAAGGGTTCAATAGGTCTGTTTTTCAGACCCCATGAAAAGCACGTCCTTATTTGGAGAGAAAAATGTTTTATACCAGAAACTGAAAAATCACAAAATTATTAAGAATTAAAAGTAAGTTTGTTAAGACAAATGAAGTTCTAAGTGAAAGCATTCCTTATCTTCGGGAGGTGAAACCCCGAGTTACGAAAAAACAAATTCGGTTAGGAGGACCCCCTGAAGAAAAATTTTACATTTGTTTCATTTCAACTGGAAAGTCTGTCATTTCTTTTTTTTTTTTTTTTTTTTTGTAGGATATATTTTTATTTCTATTTTGCATTTTCTTTTGTGTATATATCATAAAATATTTAATTGTCGTTTAATTTTTCGGATTGAAATTTTAAATTCGCTTAATTTTTTATGTTTAAAGTGCACGTTTCTCTTCTCAACGGGCTGCGCAATAATTATTTTATGACAAAATTCGATTAATATCGGTTGACTAATGCGTAAAATTACGCAGTTCGATAAGAAAGTATGGCACTTGTGGAAATATCATTTACATTTGCCAGGCGAGGATTGCGATATATATTCGATATGGAATTTTCGTCCCGAAGCCACATGGAGGACAGTGAAGAAGTTTTTTGGTGAAAGTGCTTCTTGTAAGGCTCATTGGTTCCCCATCGTTTATTGGACCGTCCTCGCACTTAGTATTATGGGTTCAATCTACAGTGCAAGTGAGTTTGCTCGCTTATTTTTGGGTAATCGCAAACAAGTGACGATGTGGCGAAGGCGAACATATTATGTACTACCGTATTCAGTGTTAAGAAAATGCCGACTTGTGGGCGCTTTGATTATGCTTAATGTCTGGCTCCTCTTGTTCTACGCAATTATTAATGTCTCTTCCGTTCTTATGATGCCCTGGTTAATCATAAAATTGTTTACATTGGGCCTGGAGTTTGTCTATTGGTTACTCGAAATGTTATTTGGATCTAATGAAGTGGACGCAAGTGCGGCAATATCATTTTTATTGCCCGTAATAACATATCAGTGTGTACGTTGTGTGTACAACATATTTCTGAAAGCAGTTGAATTGAATGACATTGAAAATTTACTTTTATGGAAACGTTGAAAATGATCGGAATCTCTTTGGAAAAACAATTAAATAAATTTATATATATCTGCATAATGTTCTTATGATAATGGCTGATAACCACCCGCCCCCACCGTTGCATACTGGTAGGAAGGACATTTCTATTCAGAAAATTTAAAAACTAAATTGAAAGAAATTGAATTTAAAAAAAAAAAAATAAATAAATAAATAAAGAAAAGAAAAGAAAAGTGTTTCAAATTGAGTTATCTCCCTCTTTCTCATACATTAATGTATTGCTTTCTTCTCTAACAGTGCAGTGCGTAAGAACGTTAATACTCGTACTCGTTTGACGTTCCAATTTACTATGAAAAATTTAGCAGTCGAGTGAAAAAGTCATCGCTTCAGAATACTAGGCTTACAAGTATAAAACGTTTATTTATATAAAAATAAGCGCATTATTCATGAGGCGACGAAATGTCGCCCCTACCGGACGTTGTTGCTAATGTGTGCACTTTAATAATAAAAAAAAAAAAAAAGTTTGAAGGCCCGTTGTATACCATATACAAATAACTGAGCGGAAAGACGGTCGCTGAGGCAGACAGATTGACAAAGCAAATAGATATACTTAATGAAATAAATTTTATAGTCTAGTGAAATTTTTGAATAGCGTAGATTACGTGTGAGGATGTATGTGTGTCATTATGAATTGTAATGAGTGCAGAAATGAAGTTTTTTATAATCGCATACACTTAGATATATATATATATATATATATGTGTTTTGCAGAATTGATGAAATCAAACTTGCTAAGGAAATTGCGACTTTTAATTATACGAGCGAACATACAATATATCTGATGGCATTAAAACAAAAATCGAAAGAAAAAAAAAAAAAAAAAAAAAAAACATAAAAAAGAACCCGTCAAGTGCACAGACGTAAGCCAGTTATAGCCGACGCCGGTCACACTTATTGCTTCATAAAAATATACTGGTTTAAATTAAAAATGATATTAATTTGGCGCCACCACTTTAACTAAACAATAACAACAATTAAGAAGACACAATAACAAGTGTAGAATGGAAGTGAACGCAAAAACCGCTTCGATACGAAACATTTCCTCATCGACTTACACATGAATATATTAAAAATAAAACTTAATATCAGTCTGTAGTGCATGTGCGGAGAGATAAATTGTGCAAAATATCTTATGGATTCTCGTCCTACTCTTTTCATTAGGTATTAAGTAATGCTTTTCCTTTCAATAAATCATTTTTGATGATTTCCTCAAGCCGGATTATTAAAAGTGGCGCAGCAATAATTTTAGTGCGATTAGATTGTTGAGCTGTATCCAGCAAACTATTCTTAAACTTACTATACCTACATATAGGGTGGTGTGTATGTAGAACAGCTTGTAGGCAGCTTTAAAACTGCAGGGAGGCAAACAAGTGCACACTTTCTAACGTGTGTCTATCTCTAGAAAATTTCACTTTTTAAAGAAAGAAAACAATGGAAATAAGTTAAAATATTACATAGATAGATAAGAATACGGACAGCATCTCTGAGGGGTCAACGCTCTGGGATATAGTAGCTAACACAATATTTATGCGCTTACATATTTATTCGGTGCGCAAAATAGGACGTAAGCGTATATGAAATAATGCTAACGGCATTGCCGCCAACGCTGCTGACTTTCTAAAAATAGTATATGCTGCAATGCATCAAAGTCTCATGTGTTTACATTCTCAACATGCAAAAGGAATAGTGTTAAGAAAAAGAAGAAGAAGAAGAAGACAAAGATAAAAAGAAAAGAAAAGAAAAGAAAAGAAAGAAAAAGTCGAGTAGTACATGCCTATCGAAAAGCATAAAATAGTTGAAAATAGCTTCCCATTTAACAGCAACTAGTCATTTATCCAAGCCTTTCCCAAGCTCATAACGAAGCCAATCATATTAATGACACCGTCTTGTTATTGAAACTATTAATAACCATTTATTGCCATTGCTTCCGTGCACTGTATTCGTCGCTCAAAATGCACCCATACGCTCGCCGCACGTTTCAATTACTGATTATGCCACCGCAAATAACTTATTAAACAATCAATCTACCAATCAATGAGCAAATGAGTGAACAAATACAATTCTCACTCCGGGAGAAATTTAAATTTGTAAAGTCGTGTGCATTCATTGTACACAGGCACACATGCCTCAGCACAAAAATAACGCTTTATACAATATTTTGTACACTGGATGATATTTAATTTTCTTTGACTTTTTTCAAATCCATGACACGATTAATATCAGAATTTGAAAATACTTGTGCTTGCCCCGACGGCCTGTTATGCATATTTGATTATAAGAAATAATGCATTAGCTTAGCATTGATGTGTCGGCTTAGTTGACATAGAATATATATACTATTAGCTCACTACCTTTTTACTAATGACTATCTTTTTATTCAACTGAAGCAAATGATAAAATATTTGAATTGAACTCAGGAAGAATAAGTTAAAGCTGTCATAGTTCGGCAAGGTCGACCTTTAAATACCCTTTTCCGCTTTGCTTAATAAAACTTTTCATTTATTTTCGCAATGAAATGTCATTACAGGGAGCCCAAAACCTTAACTGACGTGGTCCAAATTTAGATTTTCGCCGAAGGTCCTATTATTCGTTACCTAGTTGCATGATGAAGTACCAAAAATTTAAATTTGTCCCCGCAAAAAGCCTTAATTTTCATTGTAGAACCCTTATGCGGCCGAAATGACAGGCTTCTGCGAATCAAATTTCGTACAGTTAACTTTAACGTGAAATTAGTATTAAGGAACAATTGTCATCGTGAAATATTAAAAATTCGATTATTGTAGCCTAGAAGGCCTTAAGCTGCGTGAGAGAAGAAGGAAGGGGCTTAAAAAATTGGTCTATCCATTCGACAATTTTCACATGTCCTTAGTGTATTATAAATACTATTACACTCTGTAGTACTATTTATTGCAGAATAAGTGCTTTATGTGAAGTCGTAGAATACTAAAAGTGATCGAATCAAATTCATCTCCAATAGATTTCGTCCTACATCGAACAAATTTCCATATACCAATGTTTGTCAAAATGTGTTAATGAATGTCTCAAGCTAAAGGATAGACAAGTTTGTGTTTATGACCCGACGGATATAATACAAGTTGAGGGTATCCTAAGTACTTGTATGAACAAACTTAACATACGATAGATTACAAGCGATGTATTGTGTAGAAAGTACGCGATTTAATTCGTTTTCATAAAAAATCTTTTATTACTCCTATCACCGGAGAATGAGGATGTATTCCTTTTGTCCTATTCTTGATCAGCATCACATTCAAACTAAATTTAAATTGAAAGTTCTTGCGCGCATATTGCTATTGAAAATGAGTCAAATTGATCGAAGGACACACATACGGTACCTTATAAACTAGAAAGAGCACCGCTAAACTGAACGTAACTCTTTAAGCAATGAAAGTGACGTAGACATCCTTTAGTAATCTAAAAAAGGTTACAATGAACTAATAAGCCAACGTTTATCAGACATATTTTGGTATGCACTGGAAAATCTAAAAAGCTTGTATAAAACAAGGTTTTTGCATAACCATATGTGCGACAATATAACCAACAACCAACCACTTGACGTTGTTTAATTAAACCGAATAAATCACTTTACATTAATTTAGAATTCTTAAGAGTATGAAACAAGTTAGAAGACAAGAAGGTAGTGTACGTAAAGCACTATCAAATCCGTTTTGAATCAAATCATTCTGATAATCAGTAAATTCCACTTATTATTAGATAAGTGGGCGTTTGTTGTAAATAGATTTTTGTTAAAATTTCTTTCTCTCTGTTTGCCGTTGGATTTGAATCCGAGGCGCGAACTCATATCATATCTATGGAATCTGTGGAATATTTCAAAATAATGTCCATTTACATGTCCAATAGAGAGACCTGAATACATTAGTATGTGTAATAAATATTTATGAATATTGATCGAATAACTGACATCATCGTTTTAATTTTAAATAACCAAAGCGAATGATTACAAGGCAAAGGCAAATAAATATGATAAGACTTTGTAATATGTTTAAATAATTCAGAAAAATAAATATATGCATATGTATAATCTATACATATAATTATATTTTACATATTAAAGGTAAATGTGTGTGCATTTGCGTACCTCACTTATGCACAACTAACTATAAATATATATTTAAATCTGTAAGTGAATCTGTGCAATGCATTTTATATACAAACAATATTCTCTATCAGTGGATTGGGTGTGCTTGTGTGTATGTATGTATGTATGTATGTGTGTGTGTGTGTGTGTGTGTGTGTGCAATGTGCTATAAGTACTTTAAAGATTTAAAGACAAACCAGCACTGGAAGGCTGGGCCGATGTCAAGTCGCAATACGTGTACGAAAGAGCATCGATTGAATTGTCGCAAAGCTAACATACTTTCTTGAATGACCTCAATTGCTATGTAGAACTTAATAAGATCGCTTATGAAGGTAATTTTTCGTCAGCCCCCTAGTTTGGCCGGTCACTTCAATTCACTCAGAAAAAATTAAACGATTTTTATGCGCTCACGAAACGTTCATGAGTAACCTCTACTTACACTTGTTCGGACATTCGTTCGGTGGCGCAGAAATGCCGCAGATTACATATTGATTTAAAGTAAACCTGTTTCGAAGTGATAGATAGACTGAAAGTTCACTCCAAGATGATTATAAATTTTGGTGACCGGTTGACTTTGCATTTGATTTGACGAAAAAATCGTTCACATAAAGGCTAATCATTGTCGGACGTATCGCCTTGATGTTCTTAATTGTACAAGTTTGTAAATTTGAGCACAGTGCTCGCAATGTGTGGGTAACTGCGTCTGTATATATATATATATATATATATATATATATAGGCACTTATTTGACTTGTTATATGCACATACTTAATATTCGCGGACGGAATTAAATAAATAAAAAAATAAAAATAAAAAACGCACACTCACTCATTAACAATTGCGCTGAAAAGTTAAAATATCATCAATACATATATTGTAGAAAGTGACGACTTGACGCGGCAAACTGGCGCCTAAGAAAACATGACTACTAACCCAAAACCCTGGCCCCCGCCGTCATACACATGCGCCAATTGTGCGAGACTGACGCCGACAAATTCGTAAGATAAACGACGACAACGATGAATAAATAAACAAACAAGCGAGTCGAAAGCCGCCTTTTGCACGCCAAAATACAAACACACATACATGTATATATATACATATATATACATATATATATATATTCATATGAAACTAAGCAAATACTTGTTTATTTCTCTCGTTTCTTCTTTTTCGTATTCTTGTTGACTACAACAGTGTCTCGGGCAAGAGAGTTTTGGAAATGTCTTGTCATTTGCATTTCATTCTCTTAGTCTTTCTCTCTCTCTCTCTCTTCCTCTCTCGCAAGAGATGTATATATACATGTGTGTTATATATAAATGTCTACTTTTTTTTTACAATGATAAAAATAATTGAACGATTTTCGACGTTCCAAGAGCGATTCAGAAGATATATGTTCTCATAGATGCGTTTAAAATTCCTATATTGAGTTCTTCCAGCAAACAATATTCAAAGGAGCAAACAAGGCGAGAAGTCTAGCGTTACCCAAGTAGGGGGCGATACGAGCAAGATATGGGACGATCAAAAGGCAAGTCGGCGACATGTTTTAATTAAAGGGACGCCGTTAACATTTTTCGCCTATGACGCCAAGTGTACTGGCGGTCGGCACTGACGAAAAATTGTCAGCCATCATCGAAAAAGGCAAGCCGTGCGCAACCTACGGCCCATATATAGCACAAACAAAGGCGTGCTGCTGTGGTTTAGTTCAATTTTCTTAATAAACAAAGGCGGTCAAGGTGAACATTTATTGCAACGAAAATATTAAAATTGAGAATGACTTTCTAATAAATGATAATAAGTTATTTATCGAGCATAAAAATAATTCGTTTTTTATATAATTTTGTTTTAAGTTTAATAAACTCTCTTATTAACTACTTTCAATATTTCGTTAGACTCCGCTCCAAAGATAGTTGGGAAATCAACAGAGCTTTCTTTTATTCCTTAAAATTATTGAGTGTTATTGTTTCCTTCCAAATACTTAATGTGTCGTATTCCGAATATTAAAACTTTCTTTTTCCATTGAGACCACTTTTCTATGCCTCTCCTTTACTGAGGTTTAATCGAGCGTTAAAAATTTACTGGCACTTGGAGAATGAAATTTTATTGCATTAGATACTCTAAACTGCGCATAAATTTATGATGCAAACGACTGGCGAACAGATCTAGCTAATGCAGCCTGCTAAGGACATGGCTGGAGCTGTCAAACTTCAATTCTTCTTCTTTACTTTTAGGTTAGCTTAAGTTCGATAATCAGCTAAATTGCCTAAGTGTTTTGCCTACGACTTTTAAAAATCTGATTAAGAGAAATTCCCTGATCCTCAGTCCCTTGCTGGAATCCCTTACCGTTCATTCAATTCAATTGAATTCATAAGAAGCAGATACAAACTAGACGCGAAAATGCTCATCCCTTGTAATTCTCCCTCACACTCCCTCTCCCTGAATTTGAATGATTAGCTAGTCCTCTCACGTATAAGCAATATCATCTCCATTTTCAAGTTCAGATGTAGATTCGATTTTTTCCAAAAGAAAAAAAAAATTCAGAGGAGTAATCAAGTAACTGAAAGTTAGCTCTCGCTTTTATATTCAGCCGTTTATGGCAAACAGCTGACATTTTCATACATGATTACCCCCCAGATCATTTCGTTACTTGCTTGCTCTGAGCTCACGCCATCTCGTAATTCGGGAGAAGTTCTTATAAAGTATTACGGTATTATGCAAGCGTTATTAATGATAGAATTAGTAGAAATAGAAAAGGCCTCGTAAATCCGAAAATTTCGAAAGTCATCTTCACTAATGTTGTGAAATAGGTTTGTGAGAAAACCTTACACAGCTTTCCTAAATCGGCTACACATTAACTCTATTCTAAGGATTGCAAATTGAAGTTAATTGATTTGTCACTGGCAGGTGTTTTATAAAATTTTTAAATAGCATACCTTCACCGCCGGTGCTTAATGGTACTGGAAACCGGCCATGCATTTCGGAGTGGTTTTGTTCTAAGCTGGAAATTTTGTTGGCCTCGGACTTGTGACTTTGTTTTGAATTGGCTAAAAGAATGCAGTTGTCTTCGTTGCGTGTATTTTCGCCTGAAATTAATAAAGAAAGCACAAAATTAAAAGTGATTTTAAAAAAATGCAATACAAAGCAAAAAAGGGGTCAATGTTACTTCAAAATGAATGAAATTTTCAAAAAGGTTCAAAATGCTTATTGAATAAACATAGACAAGACATAGGGCCCATCGTGGAATGCCCTACACCACTTGGCTTAATACAATTATTCATACGATATCTTTTCAAAATAAGAAGAATGATACGGGAAGTGATCGAATAAGTGATCCGATCCGAAACATTTTCAATTGTGTTTCTGCTTGGGCCAAAACCTCTCTGTGTACCAAATTTTTCAAAAATTGCGGCATTTAAGGTGAGTACAACAAAAAAACAAAAGAGACAGACCTATCGATATATGGATAAGGTTAGGTACATCTCAAGTCCTTCTAAGTGATGCATACATCCGCACTTACTTGATAAACCTTTGCATCACAAATATAAAAATACAGCTGTTATTTGGGTATAAAATTTGAAAAAGAAAACTTAAGGTATATTCCTAGAAGTATAGTAATTTAATTACCGGAACAAAATGGTCTTTCTGCAATATGGCCGCTGTACATTCAGTTGAATTAAATGCGTTAAAGTAAAGCATTAATGACATAGAATGTCGGTGCAATCTAGTCGTAGTTGATGTATATCAGTTGGATTCAGTTATATGACTTTTTTTTATTGTTTTTCCTCTCTTCCTTTTTTTTTTTTTTTTTTTTATTTAGTTACCTATAGATATGTTAATTAGCGGTATCAAGCGTACTGAAGGTCGTGGAAGTGCGCAAAAAAAAAAAAAATGCTTTACCTACATTTTGTACCATTTAATTTTTGCAAATAATAACACTGGCGCCATAGAAATCGTATGATTTTCGTTTATACGCTTCATTGCGGTTTATAAAATGTGTATAAAGACGCAAGCTATGGGTGCAAGGTGGGAGGAGTATTTTAATGTTTATATATATTTTATTTTATTTTATATATATAAATGCGTGTGTTTGTAAATTTGTTTACTTAAGAATATATCGGCGTCGGATTGTTTTGATAATAATCAGCATTCTTTCCTTGCTTTCGCAAGTGTTATAGAAATTTCACACAAATTTATTTGTGTTTTTTTCTTTTTAATAAAATATTTATGCGTTCCTTACTTTTGAACTTTTCGTTCACAAAATTGCTTTAAATTTGCCATTTAAATAGTTCTCCAATAGATTTCCTATAGATTTTTATATGAAATCATTTCTACCTGTAACGTATTCACACATATATTATTCGCCTGAATGCTTTTAGTCTTTGCAATTATATATCTCTCGCCAAATTATATAATTATAACAATAATAATAACATTTACATATATTATGGGTTTGCATATATTTTGGTCATTTGTTCACTTGAAAAAAGCATTTATTCTGGCAAATTGTTACAACATGTACATGTAATGAATATAGTTTCCATCATTTTCTACAATATTTTTTTTGCAATGTGTTTGGCAATATGTTTGCGATGTCGTGGCGAAAGAAGTTATATTGGTTTGGCAGCGATCCATCCATCCATTTTTGCACATCTCCAACTTTGCGCAGCCGCATGCCGTCCCAGGCCAAGCTGTAGGCTGGATGTGACAGAACTTCCCTTTCGAACTGCAACAGTGTATCCTAAGCAACTCTTGCAACAAGTGGCCAAAAAATACCATTATGACTTTTAAACCGACAATTGAGATGGTGAATGGTGCAGCCGCCTCACCATAAGACTCTGAACGTGTTTGGTGCATTTGGTGAATTTGGAAGAAGAAGAATTTTGAACGTTCCATGACTAGCGTCGGCATACGGTAAATAAATCAATTATATTAAATGGAAAACTGCTATATTATGGAGCGGAAGGTCAAAAAACCATCGAATGCGAACGTTATGTGCTCTGGTATTTCCCATGCCTTTACCATTCTGATCGGCAGAAGTCGCTGACCAAAATATATGCAAATATGTGCAGCGTACATATGTTTGTATATATGCATACTTATAAAAACTTTCAGAAACGCGCTTTCAAATACAATGATTTATATCTGAAATAAACCTAACGAAGACTACAGACTTAAATCAAGTATGTCTGAGAGAGGGCTATAATTGCATCCTTACTTTATCCTGTGATATATAGGACGAAGTTATTTATTTCTACTTAACTTACCTTCGTTTTGGTTCATATTTTGTGTTTGATAGATTGGCGGTGGCGATTCTGAAACGGAATAATAATAGATTATAGTTAATTGTTCGACCTTTAAATCTTTATATTTAAATAGGCAGAGAGATTGATTTATATCAGTTCAGATGTAATGGAACCTTGAGGACATTGACGACCTCATTTGCTCGTACAAATGTATCGATAGCAAGTTAACGAACTAACCCTATTACCGTATGACTGGGGGAGGCAAGAAGGCAAAGAAAGACTTCCTTTCAATACCTAATAAGATGGATGCTAAGTGTACCCAAAATACTTTAACTCTGGCGCAAGTAAATTCCTTTACGGTTTTCGATTGTTTATTCAAGAACAACGCATGCATAATACACACAAATGTTGATACATGCTACATAACATATAACATAACCCTTTTACACGCACAATTTTTCGCTTTAATCTTTTCGATGATAGCCACTCATTAAAAAGTGGATAGATGTGTCTGTTAATGATTTGGTGGTCGTTACACAAACCAATTGACTATAGCAAAAAAAAAAAAAATTTTTTTTTCTTTTCAACAACATTAAGAACAGCTTCAACTCCAAACCAACAAGTAAAACAAAAAATGGGGGGAAAAAAAATGAAACGTAATAATAATAATAATAATAATAATAATATAATAACAAACCACCAACAATAGCGGCAGTAAAATTACCAGGCAACAAGCAAAGAAGTAGACAAGTTTTTTTTCATTTATTTATATACATATATATATGTATGTATAGATGTATATATTTATTTTTTTTATTATGCTTTCTTCATTTTCTACATGGCGCCGAACCTTTTAAAACCAGTCGTCTCCTTTGGATAATAACATTTAGATTTCAACATGTATTGAATGCTCGGTGCAGTAATTCCAAGAATTACGTTTAGCATCGGCGTCTTCGTCATCGTGGTCGCCATCTTATTCAACCACAAACATTCATTATCATCGAACATCATTTTATGCCTCTTTGCCCCACTGAAGCACATTAAAACAAAAGACGTATGAATAAAAGTACACACACACACACACAACAAATCCAACTCTTAAGGAATTCGTTTCATATTAATGTCGACCAATTGATGTCTAAAAGGTTTAACGTTGCGTTAATGGCATAAAACAAACAAATCAATTTTTATGCTTAAACTATTACGAACGCGAGTATACTAATTTTCTCGTTAGGTTTGAAACGTCTAAAAATAAACATTGCAACGTTTTATAAACTAATCTTAGATATTTAACATATCTGCAGAGGCACTATTAACTGAATTTGTTAACTGTGTTAAAAATAGGTCAAATTGAATTGGACGGTCGACATTTGAATCAATTTCAAGACTACGTTTAGTGCTATTTCATAGGTTAATTGAAGTGATATCGGTACATATATGTAAATGTACCTTTATATCTAATCAGGAAATTTTGTGCGCATCGGAAAACCTCTTTTATTGTGGAAGAATCGCATAGTTTCAGTTTAACATCAGTTCAGGTGAACTCGTGAAGGGTTTATAGCTACTATGAGGATTCGAAATTTGAGCATTTAGATAAAATATACATAAAAAATTTATTTAAAAAGTAGCATCAATTTATTATGTAATACTTAGTTCGTTGCACTATCGCACTTGAAGAGAAAACTACTGGGGTCAAAATTGACGACCAGTTTAATTGTATACTTTCTAAATCTATCGGTTATTCCAAATGTATTTTGTCGTCTTCAAAAGTAAACCCCTTTAGGTATTATGCCAACTTATGCCAACGTTTTTTCCAATTCAAATCATTTTACAAAGCCTTTCAAGTAATGAAAGTACTGCATGATAGTAGAAATTAAAAATCATTCCAAAATAAGCATTGATGGAAAAAAGCACAAATTGTTCTTCATACCGAGTTTCATGTTACTTGTAAGCAATCTTTGCAGTGAAAGCTTTTCTCTGTTATGATGCACTCTGCGTGCACTGACTGAACTTAGATTTAAATTGTGATTGAAATAATTTCAAACAGAAAAAGGAAATATCATATATGGTATACTATTCTTCAGCTCTCCTCCTTAGACTCTTGTGTTTAAATTTGGGGAAAGTCTGTAAGCGTCATGCACGTTAAATAGCAAATGTATGGCAAAAAAACTTCTTGCTCTCTAAGCACATGATTGCTAGCAGTATATGCGTTTACCGAGATAGGGAAAGAGAAACAAACAACAACAAAAAAAAAACAAAAAAACAAAAAAACAAAAAAAGAGTTCATTTGCTCAGTTAATTTGCCATAATTCGAAACGATGGCCAATTTATTGTTTGACTTAAGCTACCACTACACGAATATTGCCTTAAAAATGTGTTGATATTTATAAAACTTCTGATGATTTTCATGTTATTCTGATGTAGCTGAGCCTGCTGACAAATCATGATACTTGCGCATGTCTTGTTATATAAATGGCATCCGTAGCATATCAAACTATTCTTGAAGCGCATACACGACGTCACGAAGCTGACATAAATTAAGAAGAAAAATAACAGAGGCAACAACGACGTTAACATGAACAACATGACCATAGGCTGGCGGCCGGCAAACGAAAACTAATAAGGAAACGAATTCAAGTATGGAGCATATCACGTAAGCCTTTACAGGAAATAAGAGTAGTCTCTCGTCTCTATAATAAGACTTTAAGTGGGCAAATCAACTAGCAGCCAGCGAGCCAGTGCACGGAACCCCAAAACATCTAACCAGCCAACCAACCAACAAACCAACCGACCAACCAACTAACCAACCAACGAACCAACCAAACATATATATATATATATATAAATATGTATTTGTAAAATTGCAAAGGAAAGAAAACGAACCATACAGAAAAAGCTTTCTTGGTCTCGGCGAGAGGGGAAGAAAGTTTATGCGAATAACAAAATCCAAAGTGAAACCATTTCGAACCCTACAGCGTACTGATCTCATTTCAAAATGCTTACGCGATGCTTAGTTACTTTTTGTTTCCTTTTTTTTCATATAATATTTGTATGTTTGTATACGTTTGTGTGTTTTGCAAACTTGGCAGGTAAATCAAAAAGTAATTTAGTGCGGTTTCAAATTCCTGTGCGCAAAAAAACAAAGAGCGTGAGGTTGATTGTGCCATAATACAATAAAAAATTGTTTGCAAACTTTAAATGAAAATTAGGTAAGCAAGTTAGGGTAAGTTTTATTATCATCTCTTGCCTTAGACCACAGACTACTGATTTTGCGTACAATTTCGCATTTTTTTTTTTTTTTTTTAATTCTTTCCTTTTTATTTTATTCAATCATTGCTAATTTGAACAAATATTGCTGCATTATTCAATAATCCCCTTGGGCGTGGATTTTAGATATTTTACGTTGAATTACGTTTTGCAAATGCATCACGCCCAGTGATCAACAGCCATCATTTAAATATATATACATATAGTTCTACTTAAAGAAGAGTGAATTAATTCGTAGTCGTGTGTTCTGATAAAAAATTTATAGAACTTATAAAGCCGTTACACTACATCTTTTACTGATGAATATGAATATTCTTCGATAGTTGAATACGAAGAATTATATTCATTTGGACTACAGTTGTCTGAATAATCATGATTTTCACATTGCTTTAAATAAGTTTTTCGCTATAATTGTCATGCATTAATTATCGCGGTACGAGAGGATGTGTGAACGTTAACATGAGCACATGACATAGTTTTGCTATTACATCATCGCGATATTCTAAATCAATTTAATCACGTTACGTTAATTTCTTAGTCCACCCATCAATCTCGTGCAAACACTATCACACGGTCGAGTATGAGTCCGTATTGAAGAAAAAGAAGTGCTTTTACAGAATGAATATTCCCGTTATTCCAATCGAAAGAAAAACAATAGTAATTGATATAAAGCGGAAATAGTGGCAATTTTTTATAATCAGCTGATTATTAAGTAGAAGGAAGTATTAAGCTTCTATTTTTCTATTTATCTTCGCCAATATAAAATGTGTCCGCATAGTAGACTTATCTTTAAAATTGTAACATACAGTTGTACTTATGGGATATTATATATAATATCTTATATTATATATGATATCTTGGTAAGAGTGAAATTCTGAATTGATTTGATTTGTCCGCGTCCAACCATTCTTATGTTACGACAACTTAAAGCCTTCGAGATTTGGAAAGCCTTATGAAAAACTATAGAGGAAACATGTACCAAGGGTTGAGATCAAACCTTTAAGCGCAATTACGATGATTTGCGCGCCCGCGGTCGGAAAAACAGCTTGTGATTTCTTATATATATATAGGCTTGATGTGACAGGTATCTATAATTTACTGCGATTATTTCGGATGGAAACGGATAAATTTTAATGTTTAGCACAACGGGAGTTAGAAGAAGAACATCCAATTATTATCATAAACGAGAAATTTTGCATCAAGTTTTCCTTTTTATGGCCTTAAGAACAAAAGGAAAAGCAAACATGGCTAAGTTGGTAGTGGAGGCAGATACAATCCATTTTCAGCATTGTTTTGTGTGAACAAATCGAATTATTTGAAATTTTAAAAGTAGCAGACCGGACTCCATGACATAGCGGGTCGGCGATTGCCCCTGTCTGGTCTTCGTCGTTGATAATGAGAAATGAAAAGTAGCGATAATTGCCCTGTTGTCTACCTTCGGGATAGTAAGCATTATATAAACAAGTAAAAGCACTATAGATATTCTACGCCATCATACATGTAGGATATGTGGTCCGATCGGAGACAAGCGTTCATCCTTGCATGTAGCAAATCCTATTCAAATATTTCCAAAGTGACACCTTGTAGGCTGACCATAAGAAAACATCGCGAACGGACAAGCTTCACAAACACTTTCTCTCACTCTTTCGTCATAATAAAAAGTGAGTTTACCTTAAATCTTTCTGGATGTTGCTTGCACACATGCCAACTTAATATATATCCCATTGTCCCACAAAACAACGTAGGATGTAAGGATTGTGAAAATGGGTCTTAGTTAACTAATTGCGGTTAGTTTTGCATTTAACTCTTACATAAGCAAATGACAGACAAGCGAAACGCTCAAACTAACTACGCTGACACATATCCACACTATGTGACCGTTATTGCATATTTCCGTATGTTGCAAACAAAAGCACAAGGTTAATATAAGCTTATTTCTCTTCACTAGCGCTGCTTAAAACAAACATATGTAATGAGCATGAAAGGATCAAGTGCAGAAGTAGAACAGTAAACGCTTGTACAGAAAAAGTCCACATCCGCCAAGGATAGCATTGTTGCACACTCTGACAAGGCGAACATGCTTGAATATGCGTGTGTCTATGTATCCATGACAACTGGTGCGTGTATTTCGAGTGTTTTATTAACAAAAAAAAAAAATAAAAAAAAAAAATTAGTAAATATATTTTATAACTCTTCTTCTGAATGAATATCTAATTATCTATTTTTGTTGTTTCTTTTTTTTTTTTTTTTTGTAAATTTTTTCTTTAATAAAACAACGAAAGATGTATACATGTGCACACAAACATAACTCTTTCTTTAAGTATGCGTGTTCTTGTGTATGTGTTTGTGTGCGTGTGTGTACACTAAACAGTTAAAAAATATTCAGCAAACAAGACCACCTCTGCTACGCACTAAAACATAGTCAGACGGTTTCTCATTTGTCAGTCGATCTGACAGTGCGCTCGTTATTTAGTCAATAATTTTGTCTGTGAAATAAACAAGAAATAAAAGTCTACACATACACACAATGTACACAAAATTCTTACATATACAACTATAAGCAGACGGAGTCGCACACATGAACACTTTATATATATACTTGCATACATACCATATCATGTGTATGGGTGTAAATGAATATGTTCGTAAACTTTCTTGATATGCACGCAAATGCAAAGCACTGCATACGTATGTGAAATTACACAAAGAAATATACACATGGAGATGTACTCGCACCGAAAGGTACACACATGTGTATATATATATATATATATATATATATGTATATATCTATACAAATATTTCTTGTGATTGTATGTACAAGTACCTCCACTCTGGCGCTTATAAATACTTGGTCGGTCATATTTATGACAGTATCCACGTAATGTGGCGCCAAGCAAGTAGGCGCCAACGACCGACACACCAATATATTGTTTGTTTGTATGTTTCGCTATACTATTATCGTTTTTGTTGCTATTGTTGTTTTGTTGCTAATTCTATCACTACCGCTGTATGGTTGATTTTAGTAGTCGTAGTTGTTGCTTTATTTTGTTTCGTTTCTTTTATTTGTGTAGCAAGTGTGCGAGGTAGTAATATGTTCGATATACATATACATATATATATATATATATATATATACATATATAAATGTATAAATACTCATACATGTAAACGCTTTTATGGCTCATAGAATCACTTAACTGGTTTGTTGCTAGATCGTACGAAACTTGATCTATAAGAAATAAGTGACTGACAATAATCGTACCCAGGCATACACACATATACAAACGAAGAGGAGAAAAAGTGCAATAGCAATAGCAAAATAACACTATTTGGAACTTGATCTAATGTACAAATTTTAAAAATTATATCAAATTTGTTGCATAAATTACGATAAACAAAAGAAAATAAAAAATAAACAATTTTCCCCGAAGGCAAATTCGAGAGCCATCCTACTTAGATTCGACATGAAAATCTCTTATATTAGGTTATATCGAAAAGGATCCCTGTAGTGCATCTTTATACGATATTTCCCTTGGCCAGATAATAGTTGTAGTCTACTGCTAACGAATATGTGAATACCTTTTATTCACTTTGTTAGTGGATATGTGATATACGTAAATATGAATTCACCAAAAGCATCAGATTTTAGGAAATATGGTGTCTACGGATAATGATATTGTAAATCGGACATGTCCGTCCGTTTTTACATGTCTTTGGCAACATTTTCAATTGAAAGCTGATACTTTGTAAATGTATTCGCCTTCCATACCTTACTTCTAAAAGAGAAAATTGTATGAATCCGCATTCGGGTTTCCAAACATTTGATTAGGGTGAAATTTTAAATCAAATAAGCCATATCCACATCCATATCCATTTGCTTGTTGAAATGAACCCATAAAAGCATGGGCTTACCATACAAGCATATCGTAAGATCGTATATATAAAGGCGACACATTATGTTAATCTTTTCACTCGTAACGTGAAAAATACATGTTAGAAGAGAGAGATAAAAGAGATTTTAGATCTGATCATGCCCACTTTTCTGAGCCGATAGCCGCTTTAATTAAGCTTTAATTTCAAATCTTTCTATTATTACTTAGATTACAATTAGAGTCACGGTTGTGGCTTAAATCTTTAAGAAATTAATTAAAGGGTAAATAGCCAAAGATGAACGTATTAGAATAGGGTTCGAGGGGCGCGTAAGTTGGAAAGGTTACAAAATCTCGCATATTTGGCATGCGCCAAACAAGTCTTTGCTTAAAAATGTAAAAAAAAGTTGATAAGTTCGTGACAACTGATTTTGTGATTGCGATCCAGAACCAGTTCTTATAAAGGGGTATATTAAGTGTGTGCGGATGTCTGCAATATCTAGCGAAAATTGAAATAGGCCAACCTTTCTTATGCGGATGCTGCCTGTACATCTGTCCGCCTTTCGTTCAATCCACAAGCGACTTTTTTTCAGATATTTTCATGAAATTTGGTACACGCCACATAATTTAGGCGAGGACAAACGCTATTGAAGGTAGTCGGGATCGGACGACATTTTCGACCATCTCCGACATTATACTTGAAAAGTTGGTATATGAATAACGGTATTCAACGAAGCAGTCTGGGGTATTTAACGGTGCGTCGTGCCCCACTATAACATTTTTACTTATTTTACTTGAATTTAATTTTTTCCGAAAGGCGGTTAGAGAACATTGCCATTGTTTGAAGTAGCAAAGCTTCAGTTACGTTAACTTTAGGTTTACACAACATTTTGATTATTTATTTTTTTGAAATGAAGAGTATTTTCCTCTTTTTGTTTTTTTATTATTTTTGTACTGTTTAAAAAGTATAATAACATAGATTCCCTTGATGTAGGCCATTTTTTAGCTCTTTCTATGATTTCGTTAACATACCAAACATACATTAATGAATTTCTTTTAAATAATTCCCGAAAGTGAATCGCTTAGTTTCTTTTAACAAGAAAAAAAGTACGTCCCTACAATTTCTAAGCTTCATCTAATGCTATTATCTATGTATACGAAATATTGGATAGCGCTAAATTTGGGCCTTAACTGTTGTGTGCTTCGTCGTTGTGTTAGTAGGTGAACGAACGTCTTTGCTAGTTAAAATTTGAATTTCACTTCACACCCTTGCACATATGAAAGAATGTCCACGAAAAACTCAATTATGTGTGCCACTGTATCGCACGCACACGTATATACATACGTATATATATATATATATGTGGTGGGAAGATAGAATCGAGGGTATTTTTACACTTAAAACGTACATATATTTATAACGTATACGAGTTTGGGTAAATATAACGAGACGGCGGCTAAATTCTTTATATACAATTTGCGTACATTTAACATGTGGCGCCAGGAAATAATCTACGCGCTGCCTAACGGATAGCGCGGTTGTATGTCGCTGTTGATGTTTTTTTCTTCTTTTTTTCGTCTTGGTTAGCAATGACTTTTGCCAAATCGCCGACATACGTAACGAACGCATTTGAACTATTTCAAATAGTTAGCCTTTGATAGTGTTTTTATATATTTATTTATTTATTTATTTAGCTTCTTTTTTTTCGTTCATATTATGCTATGGCTTTGCGATAGTGTTTGTTCTTATATGCTCACTTATATGCATATAGAAGCAGAGAATTAGAAGTAAATCGGAAAGCTAAGCGAATATGGAATAGTGCACAGACCGTTAAAGGAGAAAATGATGGACATACCTGTTTCGAGTATGCGACACCAATGTAATGGATTGCAACATACATAGACAGGATCGCATTCGTTTGGACAAGCTGGTAAACGTTTTAGTTGGGATGATCTCTTTAAATCGCGCCAAAGAAATAAACGGCACGCGATAAGATAGGGCTCTTCTCCGAGTATTAATGCGCGTTGGGTGAGAATGCAATTCGCTTGAAAGGTGTGCACAGTATTTCGGGAGGTTGAGCTCAGGTTCGATTGCAAGAATTCGGGGGATTCGTGGCGAGCTTTCACCGCTTTTAACAATAAAGTAATTTGACTGGCTTTCAATTGTTTCATCAAGGCATTGAAATATTGTTCCGGTGGTTGAGCTTTGGATGGATGTGATAAGTCTGTTTGCATTTCTATTACACGATTTTTGTTGCACGAATTGTTGTTGTCGCTGCTGTTCGTAATGCTTTCGCTGTTCGTTGATCCAAAACCACCGCCACAGCAATTGCGAAGAATTTTTGCTGCCGTCGCAGCAAACAAGCCGGTTGTTGTTGAGTTGCTCGAGGTGATTGTTTGAGAGGAGGGTGAACAGTCGCAATTGATTGATTTTTTTATAGGCGATATACGGCGCAGTTTCTTCTGCTGTTCTGATGGCGGTAGATAAACACTGTTGCTGCCGGTGCTTATCTCGTTCAGATTTTCGTAATTGTTGGCGAGCATTATGTCGCCAGTATTTACGATATCGTAACCACCTTTGCTGATGCCACATATCTGAGAGCAATTCATTTCCGATTCTGTAGCTGACATCGAAACTTCCGCGTCTCCATTTATCGCAGACGAATGATTTTGAAAATTGTCGTCCTGATAATCCATCGTTCGCGAAACGTTTAATTCGGGTATTGAACTGTAAGGTGGCGGGGGAGTACTGATCGATCTCGCCTCCCCCGAGTCGTTCGCATAAGCATTGTTGCACGAATGATTTTGATTCCCTTTCTGTTCTGATTGAAGGAGGCGTTGATGTTGAAGGCGATGCAGCAGTGGTGACTTCTTCGTCCCACCGACAGGCCCTTGTAAGTTTTTTGACGCATAACGCCATAGTTCTTTCTTCTCGCTTTGAAATTTCATGGAGAGACATTAAATATGTTGGTAACATCGATCTTATCCTATTTGCATTATTCGCTTTAATAGACTTTTTTTGTTTATTTTATTCGTAAGTTGGCCACTTAATACCGACCTGTTATTATTCTTAAAGCCGGTGCCTTTCAGGTATATAATATATAACTACACTTAAGAATAAATTGCTTTATTTCATTAAAGGTAAAGCAAATCACACGACGTTTCAAGGCAACTTTGTTGAAAATATAAATATGGAATACACATAAAATATGTATATACACATATATATATACATATACATATATATATATATATATATTTATATATATGTACGTATGTATACGTATATATATACAAGTTGAAATTTTTTGTGTTTATTTACACTTTGACTTATTTTTCTCCTTTTTGACTATTAAAATAATCACGGTTTATCACTAGAGCGTTACAATTCACTTGTATAACATGAATGATATGTGTTGTAAGCGCGCAAAATCAGGTTCTGAAATAAGAAAGAAAAAAAAAAAAACGTATGATATTTCTAAAAGAACGTGTCAACAAATGCTGATATTAAAAATTAAAAATGACCTCAAGATTTTTAATTTCACTACCAAGATATACTAATTATATCATTCCATTTATTAGTTAAACCTCTAATGCCAATATTGGTACATTATTATGTTACATTATATTTTATATTGACAAAAAAAAATAAATAAATAAATAAATAAATAAAAAAAGAAAGCAATGTAGCTAAAAAATATAATTTTTCGAATAAATTAATAATTTTTTTGAATCATTAATATCGTTCTTCAGTCAATGGATTTTCTTTTATATTCAGTCATTCAGTTAAACAAATAATTTGAAAATTAAAAATTCAATCAATTTCATTGTCAGGCGTAGATTATCATCTACAAAAAGTTGCTTCGGCAGAAATGGGAGAAGAAAACATTGTTGATAAGCTTCTAAAATTACTAGAAAAAAGTCGGCGGCTCTAGACTATGGCGGAAAATCACTGTTGGCTCTTCAAAAATTTGAGCGCAGATACTCAATGCACTTCAAAGACCTGATGTCATGGTTGAAATGTTCGCCAACTGTGACAGTAGCGGGCAATAAATTCAACGACTTGTGCAAAGACACTGTTGTCTTGTATTATGCGCACACACACACATATATATATATATAGTATATGTGTGTGTGTGCGAGTATATGTGTATAAATGTATATAAAACTTAAAGACAAAAAACCGACTTATGGGTGACTGACATTAACAACAACTAGACGACTAGTACAAGGCACTGGTAAATGATTGCGTTTCTCTTTCATGTTAATTTTGTTATTTCGAATAGCTATCAGCGTCACCGAGTCGGTCTCGTAAGTGAATCTAACTGACAAGCAACTATTTAATCACTAAAAGTCAATCAGTCAGTCAGTCAACCATAACATTAATGCATCGGGTGTGGTTGCTTTAGTTACTGTGAGCTTCATTAAAAAATGCTGTATATATATATATATATTTTTTTTTTTTTTAAATATCATTTGTACATCATGAGTGAGAGTTTCGAAAATAATTCTTGGACATAATTACGCAGGTTTACTTCACACTTATCTACTCTTTCGTTTCTATATTATTGTTATTTAGGTTTGTTTTTTTTTTTGTCTGTTTTTTTTTTTTTTTTTTTTTTTAATTTATGTTCTTTATCGTATTAACGACCTTCTGTGAATGAGTTGTGGCGACAAAGAAAATGAACGGCTCGGTGTAGTTTGACTGCTTAAAAATTAAAATAACTTTGCGTGCTAATATACAAGAAAGTGTATAGCATACAATGCTACGGTGGATAGCAATAACAGTCAGCGAGTCATACAGTCGAAACATCGATTAGACGATTAGTAAGTGAAGGCAGCTTAAATATTAGGCGCCAGTGGGCGCCACTGACGTAATAAAAGAAATAATAGTAACGACGGCGACTTCGTTCATAGCGCCACTAACTCAAGTACATACAGTGAAAAGCAACTAAACCAGATTTTAGACAGACGGAGAGCGGAATACGATTAAAATACGAAATCTTGAAATCACTCAGTTGAGTAAATGTTCATATGTGTGTGTATTAATGAAACAGATACGAATTACGAAAAGCACAAAACAATCGTTGAGATGTTTACTTACATATACTTACAATATCATATATGTTAGTGTGTGCGTGTGCATACAAAATACTTTTTATGCATGCATAAACTTCTCAAGCGAAGAAAAGAAAATACATTTTTGAAATTTGCCAAAACCGAAAATATCGGAGAGAGAACCTGCTCCGATCGATTCATTCTCTTAAAAAATGACAAATTTATTAATATGCGCGCGTGTGTGTGTGTGTGTGTGTGTGTGTGTGTGTGTAAGAAATCGGTTCACAATGTGTTTACTTAACGTGGTAACGTGGTAAAGAGATTTTTCAAATATATCGTGATAATGAATTTCTGGTTTTCTTTACTCAGCGAACCAAATAATGGAGAGCAATAGGTATAGGAATCTGGTTTTTGATCTGAATTCCACTCTCTCCGTTTTTTTTTTTTGCTCTTTCCCTTTTTCTTTCTCTCTTAATCTAATCGTCACCATACAACGATATAGTTAGTGATGTTAACTCTCGATTTTGTTTTTGAAGAAAATAAGGGAGATTTCATGCAACACAAATACGCACGCACACAATGCACACAATGCACACACACACACACACACACACTTTAAGGTGAATCTTTTCGTACTCAAAGTTTATGTAAGAAATTTATATAAACATGTGGATTTAGAGCGAATCAAATTTCTTTTTCGATTTTTGAAAAATGGATTTATATATAATCCCAGTGTAATAAGAACACTAATGCGTGCGTAAGCAAAATTTGGATTTCATTAAAAAAACAATCAATACTTTTTGTGTGCATGCAACGGCTTCAAATTATGGATAAATAACAATTTAAAAAATTGTTGAGTTACCGCAAAGGCATACATTTAAATGCTCATTCAATCCCAGACAACCATCGAGCATTTAATATTAGATTTATCCCTGTTACTTAAAAACATATTTGCTGTCCTTTTCAACACATACGTAAATCATATATAATAGCAATGTTTATGATCTATCCTCCCATAACGATACTCTATATAACTAAAAGTCAGAAACTCGGAAATTTCATGTTTTTCGTCCACCTAAACTAACTGTTAAAAATTTTGGTTTGATTTGAGTTTTGATTGCGAAAACTTAATAAACATTACGAAGTGAATAGAGTTTCACCATAAGCGCTCACATGTTTATGCAAAACACTATATCGTATATCATAGCGGAAATTCCATCAGTAAGCCTTTGGAATCAATTGGTTCTCGTTTTGTGTCCCTTTTCTTTATAGGTAAAATTGAATTTGTCGCTACTTGTCGCAATGTGAACCAAATTAAGACAATTGACGATATATTCAGTCCTATGCTCACCTTTTGCTGAAGAGAATTGGTTTTAGTCTTCAATTAATTACCAAATATTATAAACCTTTTCCTAGAGTAAATCTGGTAATAACTACGAGCTTCGAAAAAAATAAAAGAAAAGATTACAAAAAGAACATAAGTTGGAATTGTCCATGCAAGCATTTCTATTCGTTATATATCCAGAATTGCGGGTTAAGTATCAGCGAGTATATTTAGTCGATTCAGCTCAGTAGGCAGCCTGTGGTCAGAATATCCGTGGCCGCAAAAGTAAAAGAAGAAGTGAAACATGGCGTGTATGTATTAGTTAAAAATGGTTGTCATGCGCACAATACTTAACTGTAACCTGCAATCCTCAGTCCGGTATGAATTTCAAGATATTTGCAAAATCATGTTAAAAGCTAATCAAATGACGGACCCGATGAGCACATAGCAAACAAAGAATAAAAATGTGCATAGCCATTTACGATCAACTGACTAATATACGTACAATTAATAATGGACTTTACAATTTCTATTCGGCAGATTTCTCTCAGGTTATTAATATTTTATTATTATTGTTTTTTTACTTAAAATTGCAAAGACAATTAAAAATCCACCAAACATAAGTGGAAGGCTGCAATTATATATGAAGAGTTAATATATATATGTGTGGGCTAAAACGAACGTCGTCTAAGAAATTTGTTGTTCGTATCAATGAGTCCTTATATTGTAAGCCTTGGAGAGATGTGTGGAAAATTTTCAATTAATTTCTTAAAGTCCCTTAAATTAATAATAACGGACGAGCTTATCCATATTGTTATCGCCGTACACCATGCAAACTATTCGAATATGACATTTGACAATCTATTCCTTGCATACGAATGGAGAGAGAAAGAATTTCTTATAAAAATATCTAAACGCAACCTGCAGCTATAGCATAAGGAAAATATTTTACACAAATTTACACAAAAACAATAATTGATGGTGTAGTGCTAGTGTCAATCTAAAGTTGCCAAACAACTATTCATGAATCAAACTTTAGTACACGTGAGCAAACTCTTTTACTCGATTGCTTATATGCGATTTTTATGCGCGACTTAAACTTAAATATATCGATCTTTAGATATTTATAAAATCTATTCTTTCTTTACAAAAGATAATTAGGTACTTGTTATCCGCCTGAGTGGCCTGAGTGACGAGTAGACAAAGAATCTCGATTAACAACTCAATGGTCGTGGGTTCAAATCGCAAGTGGGGTTGCCTTAGCCGCTAATGCTAGTGCTTTAAGACTTCACTCTCGGAATTTATTACTCTGGCCCAATTAATTATAATGATAACAACAATAAAAATAATATTTACAGATAATATGCGACAGATTTCCATCAATTTGTTTCCAAAAATTTCTACGCATAAAGTTAATTTACGAGAGGAAAAAAAAGCACTCATTAAAGAAACAACGCATCTATCTGTATATGTATGCGTTCGATTACGTGAGAATCCCGGTCTTGTCACTTATTATTTGACATTACAAGTACGCGTTTATTGTTATTGTCACCAATAAGACGCGACAGGTTGGCGCTATTATTAGTTCCTTAATTAATCAACTACACAACAACCCCCTACCTCTCCCTATGACTGCGAAAGTCGTTTTCATAGTGATATCGCGTCGTGAGCTTTATTGTTATCATTGATTTTGTCAATTAGATTGTAATTTAAATAAATTCAAAAATAAGAAAATTACTCCTAGCGTTCGAATTAAAATTTGATGTTCATTAATAAGCTGCTGTTGCTCCCGCGCTCGTTTCTTTCCAGCAATCAATTAGAAAATGATTGCTCTCAATTAAATGTGCTAAGCCAGTTCTTTGAGAAAGGAGTCGACTAGACGTACCGTTCACGGGATATATTGTATATACGCAGCAGTAAACAGATGTCTTTAAAAACATAAGGTGGATGCCTGTCGGGAAGAGCATGCCTAGTAGCAGCAAACAGGAAAAGTAAATTTCTATCAAGAATAGTAATGGAGTAAGCGGGAGGGACGTTGCAAGAAGGTGTTCCTTTGCCAATCAGCGAAGGGGCAAAGTCCATGTAATACTTGTATTTTTGCGAGTTTCAAACACACATTAACCTAACGGTGCTTTTTGCTTGAAACTTCTCGAGAGAATCAGAGACGGACCGAGAGCCGGACTGATAAATATTTTGAATCGATGCAGATATTTGCAGCTTCGACGAGCGGAGGCTGTCTATTAAACTTATTACCAATGGAATGATAAAATTAGTATAGTATTAGTAGTGTTTTCTTGACATATACTAACGAAATAGAAGAATATTCATTAGGTCGTACCGTACGCAGTATAAAGTTAGTCGTCGGCTAATTTGTATCTTTTCCAATCTGGAAATATGATGAAAGAGGAACTTACTTGTTTACGTATATTTTTCTGCTTTTTTTCATTTCTGGCATGCGCGTGCATATGTATTTAACGTTGTAATAAAACGTTTCCGTAATTGAAAGAAGTCATCGGATTCTTAATCCATCAAATTCAATGCTTTTAGAGGAAAACTTTGTCCCACGATCTTATAAGAATTGATTTTTATTTAGTTTCCAATAACTTTAGAAATTATGCGCACACAACTAGAAAAATTCCTTTTTGAATTTGCTTTCGTGGTTAGCTTTCGCTTGTTATTACGTCCTTTCACATAGAAGAAAAAATTTTTTTTCTTTTTTTTTCTTAATTTATATATAAACACATAGTAACATTGCTCTCTTCTAAGACGTAGACAGAGATGGACGTTGAACATGCGGCACTAGGTTATATTCGAATTATAACAACAACAAAACAATGTAAACTGCTCACATACAATGGCCGCATTAATTATAAGACAGCTCTTAGAACTGACAAGAATTATTGTTATTCTCGATGTTTTACTTCGACCACGTTTGCTAACGTTGTTGTCGTTGTTGTTGTTGTTGTAGTTGTTATTGTTGCTGATTTTTTTTTTTTTTTTTTACGGACTTTGGCGTATGTTCAGAGATACACACATATGAGCTCGAATTACGTATGTATAAGATCGTGTATCGTTATGGGTTTGAAGAGTCGGCTCGTGTGTGTATATGCGTGTGCGCAAATAGATTGAAAGGTTTTTTTTTATTTTTTTTATTTTTAATATTCACGATATATTTTTACACAGCGTTCTCGATCAAAAATGCATGTAAGTATGTAAGACGGTGCTTGTTTCTGTTACCCTGTTTCTCGTGCGCTTGGTTTGCTTGCCCGTTTGTTTATTCGCCTGATTTGCTTTCTTAGCTATGTCGATAGACTGACTGACAGACAGCCAGCTATGTATTATATGTATATTGTTTACAGATGGATATGTGTGTTGTTCTTGTTAGTACTACACTACTACTACTACTACTACTACTACTACTAGCAGCGAAAGAATGTAACGACACATTCAATAAACGAATGTTAACCACTGCAGCAGTGAGCGATTATTACGTGCTTTGAATTTTAATTTTTCCCTTTTTTATATTATTACTATTTCATTTCTTGAGCAGTAGCTGAATATGAACGATGCATGCGAGCGGCCTTTCTTTCCCGATTTTCTTCGATTTCACATGAATTCTATTTGTAATCAAACGGAAAATATCTAACGGATGGGTTCTTCTTGCTCATGCCAGAGCACCTTTTACTTTGTTTATTGCACTTTGCGTTTCAATAGAAATTGCGTATAAGAACGAACGCTGGCTACGTTATTGTATGATATGTACAACAATAGGATATGTGTAAGTCGCTGTTTTTGTTATTGTTGTATCTTTGATATGTTTACGTTGAAATTATTTGATTTGGCTTGATATAGCTCCCTTTTTACTGACTATAAATTTTTAATAACTATTTTTATATTTTTTTTTTTTTTTGTCGTCGTTTCTATCATTATTATTCTTATTACTTATATATATTTATTTATTTTATTTATTCATTTATTTATTTATTTATTTATTTATTTTATTTATTTATTGTTTCTTTTTTTTTTTTGATTTAACACATACACACCAACTTATGCAGATGTTGATTATTCTGACAAAATAAATAATTTGGCGTTTGTGTGGCCAGCGCTGATGACGATGTTTCGGTATTTATGTGTTTTCGATGATTTTGTTTGTTGTGTGTTTTCGTTTTTTTCGTATATTTTATACTTATTCACGCCGAAAAGTGTTGTTAAGAAAACACAAACGACTAGGCAGCCTGCTAGTTTTGACCGATTGGTAGATTGGCTTGGCTAGCCATTAATATTAGGATCAAATCGCACAGCGCAAAGGGGGAGACACGGTTACGGCACGTAGTGTAAAATTGCGATAAGAACCATTAAATAAAATACAAATGAGAGTCGATTCTCCCTCTTTTTTTGTTTTTTTTTTTTTGAAAAAGAACCGAATGAGCAGGCGAGCAAAACGACTCAGTGCTTTTTCTTATTTTTTTCTTATTTGTGTATATGTTTGTATATGTTCTTCTCTGGCACGTATAATAAATATTCGCACAAGAGTATCTGTTTATTTGTAAGTAAATAAAGGCAACGTTTTAAGAACGAAAACTTTTACGCATACATGCTTATGAAATATAACGCATAAATTGGTTCGGTAGCTTGCAATTAATTTTACTTCATTTACTTTATGCGATTCTCCTTACGATACACTTAAAAATTCAAATTTTCCTTTACTTTTCTTTTCTTTTTTTTTTTTTTTTTTTTTTTTTTTTTGGTTTTAAACTCCCATCTCATCCATCTCATAATTATGGCATTTTAACACAGATGCTATTTTCAATGTGCGCACATATATGCTGCATACACATACATATACAAAATTCTTTCCACATTTCATTTGCATTTCCTTCTTGTATTTCTTTTTTCGTTTGTTTTCTATTCGTTTTACAATCCGACACTAGTCGTTTTAAAGCACAAAACACACTTTATTTTTACTCACAGCGTTTTAGCTCTCATTTTATTTATACCATATATTCTTTTTCCTTTTAGATAACTGGCATATTTAGTTTTTCATTTTAATAGTCTTTACCAACATTTTTTGATATATCTTTTTAAGCCTTTAAATAAACATAAACGCGCGCACGCACACACACACATAGATAGATAGATAGATAGATAGATATGCAAGTAAGATATTAATTATTTGTGTTAAATTCATCCGAAAGATATGCGTTTAGTATGAAACTAAGTATCAGGCCACAATTATTTCGCTTTTCTTTGTTAATAACGGACAGCATGTTACACGGACTAGTTTCGAACGGCAACTAAATTCGATAGATACACAGGAAATTATTCTTGCCTCTCTTAAGTTAACGCTACACTTCCATCCCCTTCCCCATCCCCCTCCACATATCCTCCTTCGCATCTACCATCACATAGCTCGGCTCGGCCATCGATAGCACTACTTCTCTTTCGACAATTTCTCTTTGATTCAACTAAAGAGAATGAATAAATAAAGATGTTTCACTGGATATTTTGAATCGCTGTAGCAACACTTAAAATGCCCATGAAGACAGCAATCGGTGGCAAATCGTAACAGACTTCTATCTGTTAAAATTTATATGTAGTAAAAGAAATCCAACCCTTGCCTCTCCTTATTGGGAACTTGAGTCATTTTTCTTTGCATATGTGACGATAGGCAAAAACACTAATAGTGTGTGTTTACAGATGCATGCAAATTGCGCCAGACATGCTTTTACGAGGTTTGTTTCATTTTGATCACTTATACGTACGTTATATATATCCCTAATGCCTCATTACTCATTCACAGTTCCACATAGCTCATTCATATCAATAATAACATTTGGACGGCTATACTCAAAATAGGAAAAGGTGTGTTCAATTAAAATATAACCCGGACATTGACCTATAAAGAACGTAAAGAAAAATTGAGAACACGATCTCAAAAACCTTAGAAAACAGTCCAAAGTAGCTAAAGAAAACAGAATAGGAAACAATTTTTGTACTTTCTGAGGAACACTTGGAAAAATTTTGAGTTTTCTTTACTATAGCTAGGCCGTGGATTAACAGCAGAAAAAATATTGGGCGCACTTCACTAGTTGAAATGTTGATCATGTTTAGTTGATAAGCAGAATCGCTTAAGCAGGGTATCAAATGGGTTTTCGGAGTTTAAGAATTTTATTTATGTTTTCTTAAGAACATCAACATATATATATTAACAATTAATGCAATAAAAAAAGCTTCAAGGCCTTAGGCGAATTTGAACTTTGTTATCGTGAGATTTAGTAAAAAAGAAAGAAAGGCTTTTTATCAGAGGGAAATAAATATGTAGAGCACCCAAGAAAGGTTTCAAAATAAAAAACAGAAAAGTCTCAGTAACTTAAATGTTTCTTTTGCAAATAACAGTGGTAGCGCTATTAATTAGTAACCATTTACTCGCTTGCTATTTCAGTCCCATTATTTGTGTAAGCAAAAATTCCGTTGAAGGTTTCGAGAACTCGTTCCTGAAAAATATCTGTGTGCCAGCTCTTCCACTTGCTTTGCTATAAACATACCTGCAGAGCATCCATGATAACCCATGAAGACGATATTTTAGTTATATACGAATACGACGAACGTCAGTGTGCGAAACAAAGTAAGCCATGGAAAAATGTTTACGATTCTAGAGTCGATTTCGAATTATGAATACGAAGATAATGTGTTTTTAAATTTTAAATTTAAACCACGGGTTGGCACAGAAGATATAACAGAGACGTTATAAGCGACGAGTGAAGAAGCATGGATCAGGAAGACAAACCAAGAGGTATATTTCAAGATATTTCATATATGCAGATAATTTAAAACCTTCAACAGAATTGTTGCCCTAACAAATAATATGAGAATGAAACAGAAAGCAATTAAATAAATGTTAATTAACAGTGCCATTGCTGTTATTAATGACAGACACAACAAAAGTCCCTGAGATTCTACTAGTTTTTATTTTCAAACATTGCTTGGTCGCTCTACATAATCAAATCTCTCTGTTTTCTATAAACAAATTTTTTTTCAAAGAAGTTTGTAAACAAAGCGAATCAACATAATTTTGTACACCCTTTAGTGAGCCACATACCACTAACTGCAAAAAATTCTCATGACCAAATGTTATCTTACTGGGGATAGGATGTCGACAGTAAATAATGATAAAAGCGTCAATATGGCAATAATTGATTTACTGACCGTCTACTCCATCTTAGATAGATGTCCAAGAACTTTGTTTGTTGTTTCATTCTTGGAACTTTTTTAGTTAATAGAAAATTTGATTAAACATATCATTCAAGTCAATCAGATCAGATATGTTTTCATTTCACTAGCAAAATACGAATCCTTTTAGTCGTTAAAATATTTGCTCAGAGTTCCAATGAAATCAATAAAAAATATTATATATGTATTAATAAAGATCAACATTACATAAAGATAAGGCAGATACAATTAATGGCATGCTTTCATCCAATATACACTCATCGAGACGAAAATCAAGAGGAAAAGTACAAGTCATAGCTATTAGGGAGGATAGGGCAAACCGAAACGCCTAAGCATTGCGAATTAGTAAATTGCAGTTGCTGTTAGTGTTGGCGCAGGCGTTTTCATACGTTTTTAGTCATCAAAAGCTTAAACATTTACTCGCATCGTTTCTTTTCTTTTTTTTTGCGTTTAAGCCGATAAAGTGAACATAAGGTTTACCCTTCGAACACAGGCAGTTGCCATCTCCGTTAATATAATCATCATTATGCTTTGTATCCGTACACACCTGTGTATGTTTTCCCTTTATGTATACATATATTCACCTAAATATGTATTTAGTAATTTTCTTCCTTTCCGTGGTCATATACAAATAAATATGGAAACGTACTATAAAAATTTGCAAACTATTTGCGAAATATGAAACTAGTATGGAAGAGCTTTGAAGGCTTTATTGTAACATTCAATGCTAATTAACATAAAACTTTCAATTAATTTTTCCACATCCATCTCTCCCTCGGTCATGGATTTTGGATTCTTCAAGTTACAAAAGTTAAACGAGGAAAGTTTAGCTTATAGGTACGTACATATATTGTTAGACCAGCTAATATTCTATGTTATGAAAATAGTCTTGGAAATATACGAACAAAACTAAAATAACTTTGAAAAAAGAAACAATTCAGTGATATCTACGATCTATTATAGATTAGAAGCTTAAAGCAGCTGCTTTTGAACCACTGAGGCTCATTGAAAACACACACGAAGGCATATATACGTCTATATATATATATATTTATTTATCCACTTAAGTAGGCAGAGTCTTGACTTACAACTCAATTGGCGTGCGTTCAATTCGCAAGCGCGCTAGAGTTTTCAATAAAGCCTTAAAACTTTAGTCTTAGAATTTATTCTCTGCCTAAAATTAACAATAATAATAATATATATATTTATATACATCGTACTCTCTTTTTACACGATAGGCACATTCGCAAAAAAATTCTTGTCAAAAAAACCTAAATGGAAAAATTGGTGATTGGTTCCATACTCAAAAAAGCAGCTGAAAAGTACAATAAATGATATGAAAAAAATTCTTATTAGAGTTCACTTAAGAGTTTTCTTCATTTTAATTCATTAAATATATTATAAAACATAAATTATACTTTGAAAAACCAAACTAAAGAATACATGACGTTTCTACTCTATGCGTAACTCATGGAATTCGAATCACATACGCATATAATAATGCAAATTTTTAAGAAGTGCTGCAAAAATTCATAGAAACATAAAAAAAAAAAAGAATAATTCATCAGAAGAATTCATAAAAAAAAAAATTCATAAAATATTGAAAATCGTGTTAAAACAAAACATTTCGTGTAAAAACATTTCATATAAAAAGACAA